TTGGAAGGGAAGTTTTAATAATAGAGCACATGCTGAATGATCATGTTGACAACACATACAGGATTGTTTAAACATATCAATTTTTTGCTGCTAAGCAAACTGGTAAGTGAAGTACACCCAATTTCATAACTTTTTTTTTTTTTGCCATGGTTAAGTGAATCACAAGGTCATTAAGCATATCCAGCTTCCCCCATTTACTTTCTTATTGGAAGTTGGCTGGGAAGGTTGCACATGGCAGTCACATGACCCTGGGATGCTGCAACCATACCAATTAAATAAATACATACCAATTGCAAGTCCCTGGATTTTGAACACGTGACTCTGGGATGCTGCGTTAGTCATAACTTCAAGGATCGGGATGTTCTGATGATTCTGGTGGATCATTAGGGATTACTGCGCTTGCAATTATTTGTGCCAACTTGCCATTATTTACTTGGAAAATCATCACAACCTAGGTGGCCAGAAAGGCCCAACAGAGACTCCATTTCCTTAGGGTCTTGCGAAAGAATAAAGTGGAATGACAACTGATGACCTCCTTTTACCGGTCAACAATAGAAAGTGTCCTCACATATTGCATTACGGTGTGGCTTGATAGGCGTGGATAGAAAGACATTACAGAGGGTGTTGAGCACATCACAAAACATTGTGGGCTGTTCCCTGATACCACTAGATGATGTCGCTAGGGCTCGCTGTCTTAGAAGAGTGAGGAAAATGCTCAGGGACAACTCACATCCCAGTCAGCACTTCTTCACTCTCTTACCATTGGGTAGGAGATATAGAAGCATAGCCAGCCACACCAACAGGCTGAAGAACAGTTTCTATCCGTGGGCTGTCAGATTTCTGAACGGAAAATAACTTCATGTCAACATTGCATGATAGAGACTTGTGGGGCCGGCACATTGTGCAACAAGTCCACATAGTATAATAAGATTGGAACTGGGTTAGGGACTTCTGTCTTCACTGTGAGTTGTGTTGGGGGAAGGGGGTGCACAAAGGGAAGCTCAGCCAATCTCATTTTACACATGTTGTACTCTGACAATAAAAGTAATAATAATTTTCAGGCAAGCCTCCTTAAGAGCTGGGCCCTTCATTATGGAATTTCCCCACCTGAAATTTGTGATTGTAAATTTGTTGTCTCTGGAATGCCTCCCTCTTCATCCAGGCTTCCCAGAATGAATGTATTAATGTATTAATAGGTCTATTCATGTTTATTTTCCTTCCATCTACCAACTTTTTAATGAATATAAGTTTCAAGACGTTTTAAGTCACTGTCTAGTAATCTAGTAAAAAAAGGAATAAGATCCATCTGTTTTCTTTCTCTTTAGACGGCGATTCACAAATATCTGCTTAGATGCTGTTAGCCGTTACCTTGTTGAACTCCAGTCTATAAGTCCGACACTAGCTGTACAGACCATTACAGGGAGCTTTAAATCTCTGCAAGCAAAATTAGAGCGGCTTCACTAAATCCAATGATGCATGTCTGCCTGGCTGGGAGAACTGGCTTATTAATGTACTGGAACTTGAAAAGGCAAAATGCTGATAAGGCTAAAGAGAATCAACTTCCTACTGATCAGTTTTTTAGTGTATCTACTTAATGAATGTCACATGGAACAGAATGTATAAATAACGTTGTTTTGTTGTGTTCTTTTTTTTACTACTGCCAAATTTTTCTAACAGTGAAACTGTTTTATATGCTTTGGATTACGATGCATTGTATAATTGTGTTCTGGAGATTAAACTTATTTGTAAAATGTTTTTTTTTAATCTGTACAACGTGCTTGACCATAAGACTTCCCTATTCCATAGAGTCCCAGCTGGTAGTTTAGGTAATGAAACTGATTAACTGCATTTCATTTTAAAATTTATCATGCCTCAGACAGAAATTCTATTTCTACAGTGTGTGTGCCTACCTCTCTTTTAAAAGAAATTACTATTTGCCTGTACTATGAGAGATATTTGATAGTGGTCATGTCAGCAGAAATACTGAGGAACAAACAAGCCATTCATAATTTTTAATCGAGCAACATTTTTTACCACTATATTGTTTATATGCCACCCATCTCACTGTCCAAAATGTTTTCTGGGTAGCTTACAATAGAATAAAACCAAACCAAACATAAAGATATTAAAATTAACAAGAATCAAATAAAAAATTACAAACCAAGATTAAAATGGTATGGAGGTGGAATCTTCTCTATTACTCCTCCAGCCACCTCTGCCATGGAGCCCCAAGTCAACCAGCAGAGCCATGTTTTAAGGGGCTTCCAGAAGGATGGGGTCAGATCTCACCTCCAGTAGCAAGCTGTTCCAAACCCCAGAGGTCACAACAGAAAAGGTTCAAATAGGAACCTTGGAGGTCTTCCAGTACAACCCACCCACCTGGTCAAGCAGTAGACTCTATACCATTTCAAGTAGATGGTTCTCCATTCCAGTCTTCTTAAAAACCTCCAGTGACGAAGCACAACTTCTGAAGTCAAGTTGTTCCAGTTGGACTTCCCCTAGATCCCTCTAGCCAAAATTCCTTTATCAAAGGGATCCTTTTGCCAAAACAAGGGATGGAATAATCCCATTGGGGCAAGATAGTTCCTCAGATAACCTGGTCCCATGTCATAAAAGGCTTTAAGGGGGATAACCAACACTTTGAATTGGGCCCAGAAATAAACCAGCAACTGTATTCTGACATTCGAAAAACAGGATTTTTTTAGAAGCAGCACAGAACTTTTTAGAAAGGATATTGTGCAATGGGACATAAATAACATTAATTTTTCAAAGAGGTTTTTACTTTCCTCAATATCAAGTTTAGCATCAAAAATAATGTTGATATTTTACTAAGATCTTAGTGTAGGCACTTTTAATGTTAACCATCCAGGGGATTGAAGTACAGTTCCTATGCTGGTTGGTAAGTTATTTGTGAAGGCTGTCTTAATGCAATAATAAAAAATAACTGGTCCCAAGTGTGCATTCCTACATTGGATCTTAAAAAACACGCGTTCCTGTTCTGTTCTTGTTGGAGGTACCATAAGAGGCTTCCAAGTTGATTATGATTGACATCATTGCTCAAGGGATGCCCAAAAGGCAAATTAAATCCATGAGTTAGCTACCGGTAGTATGGTACTTATACTGTGCCTTCGGTTCAATGGCCATTAGCCAACCTGAGCCAACTGAAAAAGCTAAAATGGCTTACACTTGTTATTCAGTAGGGAACATTGAGTACTAAAATATCTTAGAAAAAGGGCAATAGCAAACCATTTCCATACTACGTTACTATTCAGAAAACAATATGGATCTATTCAGAAGACCAGCTTGATATAAGGTGCCTTTAATTTCTAAGTAAAATAATGAGGACTCAGTGGGGTGTAGAATAGTACGTGTTCATAACCAATTTTCTGTATATGTGTAATAATTGAAATGATTGAATGAGAGGACGCATGTGGTGGTCTCTCATGGAAAAGATGAGACACAAGCGAGTGTTCTCGGGATGAGAGCCCAGAGCAAATTCCAGTGCTCCCTTTTATTGAGATTTTTAGCATAGCAAGTATAGTCACATTGTGGATTACAATAATTAGATATAGTACAGACTTGTTTACAGTTGTCTGAGCTGCTTGATTGTTTCTAGTGTGTTTTTGATTTCCTTACACTATCTCAGTGACCTTTAAGCAAGCATGTATGTATAAGGTCTTAAGATTAATCATTACCCAATACCCAAGTCAAAGTTTATTCCCACAGACGCAGCCCCATGACTTCATGGTCAGGGGCTAATTGAGCAGATGGCTAAAAGTGATGTTAGGAGATTTATACCTTCCAATTTGCAGGTTTCTGTCAACATAGCCTTACAATAAAGTAAAATTACTTTATCTAGTCATGTTTCCTACATTTACCTGGGAGTGCTGAGAATATGAATAATAGCAGGGAGGGTACCATTTATTAGCCCCAAGTAAAATGGCATTTCTCAAAAAGTACTATACTGCTGCAACAGGGACTTCTTAAGCAGATGGATATTCTCTACTGTGTTTACTAAACCACTTCTCACCTTTCTTTTCACCTGATGAGATCATCACCCACAAAGCTTATGCTCTTTCCCCCAGTTTAGATGCCTTCCAGAGGGGTTGCCTAGAGATGTTGGGGCTGATGGCACCAGACTGGTTTCTGCTCTTAAATCTACTTTAATGCCCTCTTCCCTACCTGTGGGACTGTAATCAAAGCCCATGTACCAGTTGAGGGATACTAATGTAGCACAAAATGTCCATCATAGTGAAGAAAACAGCTCACAATCAAGTCTTTTAATTGTGCTCAGCTACCCAAAAATTCACGTGTACATCTCTGCAACCTTCCTTCCTTCCTTCCTTCCTTTCTTTCTTCCTTTCTTTCTTTCTTTCTCTTTTTCTTCCTTCCTACCTACCTACCTACAATAATATTGAGGGAACTTGCCATCTCCTTCCAGGATTTTATTTTATTTTTCAGGTGTAGCCTATACTGCTTGGCTTTCCTGGTGGTCTCCCATCCAAGCACTAACCACACCCTAGTCAGCCAGTACTCTGTGCTGTGACTGTTGGTCGTGATGAACTGCTGAAAGATTGTCTCCCCACGAGTCAACTTGTGGCTTTGAAGGAACAAATTCGTTATAGTTCTCTTGGCAGTCATCTGGAAGCGGTTCACCTTTCCCTGGGACTCCCAACCCCCGCCCGCAACTTCTCCGTCTATTCTTAAATCCGGGGGCTTCCTCTTGGTCTCCGGCTTAGCTTCTTGAGCTCAACCAACGGCTGCTGGCTACTTGGCTGGATTAAGTCGTTCAAAACGCCCGACATTTCGAGCAGAAGTCGCAATCTCACGCTTCACTCCGGCAACGAAACCCCACAACTCACCGCCAAGAAAAGACCAGAACCGAGCAGGAGGCGGAGAAGGCGAGGCGTCCGCGGCTTTAGAGGGGGCGGAGCATCCCTGTTTACCGTTGGAACGGGCGCGGGGGGCGCATGCGTGGTGCTCGCGCTCCTCCACCCCTTGGTTGGCAATTTGGGAGCCTGCTGAACCCTGAGAGGAAAACCGTTGGGCTGAGGCGGTGAGTAATGGGGCGTCTATCTCTCTCTCTCTCTCTCTCTCTCTCTTCCTTTCTCTCTTAGGCGGGATCTTGCGGCCGCGAGCGATTGCAGAGCCAAGAAAAAGCGGCAGCACGGAAAGCCAAGCCGCTCCCTGCACTAAGCGTGAGGGACGCGCCCCCCGTTGCAAAGCAGCCCTTGATTGGCAATTAGGCATAAAAAGGAGAAGGCGGGGGAGGAGGGGATCTTGCGGTTCCCGCAGGATCCCTCCGTCCATCCCGGAGCCCTCCAGATCTACTGCACCACTTTTTCCTAATGGCTTGTCAACCTGGGGATCTATGTGGGAGTCATCCGTGGAGTAAGAGATTGGAGGAGAAGTGGGGAGCCATTAAATAGATTTATATTTTTCACTGGAAGTCAGATGGCTTTGCACGCCAGGAAACGGGAGAGAAGGTGGTGGGCGGGATTGTGCCTGGAAGCCTCATTAAGATTGGAGAAGTTCTCTTTATGAATCCAGGGCAATTCTTTGTGATGCCATGGTGATGTGGGTTCTTTAAAAAAAGAAAAGAAAAGCAGCATTACAGATAGTCCTTGACTTATACTAGTTCATTACTGTTCAAAGTTACAATGGCACTGAAAAAAGTGAGTTTATGACCATTTTTCACACTTATGACCTTTGTAGCATCCCCATCAAAATTCAGAGGCTTGGCTTGACTCATACTTGTGACTATTGCTGCAGCCCAAGGTCGGGTGATCACCCTTTGCAACCTTCTGACAAGCAAAGTAAATGGGGAAGCCAGATTCACTTAACAGCCAGGTTACTAATTTTTCACCTGCAGTGATTCACTTAACTGTGGCAAGGAAGGTCATAAAATGGAGCAAAACTCTCTTAACAAATGTCTCACTTAACAACATAACTTTGGGGCTCAGTTGTGATTGTAAGTCAAGGGCTACCTGTATAGAAGTAGCATGTCATTATCTCCTGGGATACTTTACAACCCAGTTTAGTCTGTTGCTTGGATTTCCTGATGGTCTCCTATCCAGTCAACCAGGGATTAATAGCTGTATGGCAGGGGTCTTCAAACTTAACAGCTTTAAGACTTGTGGACTTCAACTCCCAGAATTCCTTCTCCAGTCATGTTAGCTCAGGAATTCTGGGAGCTGAAGTCCTCAAGTCTTAAAACTTGTCAAGTTTGAAGACCCTGGCTGTATGGGTTTTTTAGATCATTCATCGTCAACTAGATGCTGCCACCTGCTGTACTCAGGTGTAAATGTCTATGGAGATTCTCAGTCATCCAGGTCCTGGTTGTCCCAAAGGTGCTTTTTTTCAAGAAGCAACTGGACTTTCTTGTTTTTCTTTGGGGATGTTTTGCTTCTCACCCAAGAAGATTTCTGATCTCTGACTAGGTTGTGGGGGGTGCAAATGGCCAGCTGTCTGCAAAGAATATAAATCCTTCCATTCCAGTTAATGGAATGCCCTTTTTGTATGTTTTCCTTCTGTTTTGTTTTTATCTTAATTTAAATTGTTTGTTTAATAGTTTTTATATATTCTTCATTACTACCACATACATCTCCCAGTATCATTTTATGTAAGATGGGTGACTATACGAATGAGAGGAAATAAATAAGTTATGTTTATATATGCAGTAGGCTAGCAATGGTTTTGGAAATCAAGAAGAATCCAATTTGAACAGAAAGACAGCTTCATCTGGCAAAGCATCCTGGTTCTGACCAGCCAAAATGCTTTATGGAACCTCGTGGGCAAGAAACAAAGGCATATTTGCTTCATACAGGAGGTACAGTTTAACCAATATGCTTATGGATCTAGACTTTAAAATTATGTGATTATTATACATTGTATTAATATATGTTGTGAAGTAACTTGGGTGTCATGCTGCTCTAGAAACCTCCATGAACTTGACACATTTCCCTTTAAAACTTTCTGAATCCATGACCATTGACACATCTTTTGGCACTGAATTTCACAAGTTTATGTTCATATGTATACTGATAAATATACAAGTCTGAATAAATACCAAGTAATGAGAAAGATCTTAGGATTGCAATGGGCAGGTTGATGAAGAACAGGGTATAGCAATTTTATGTTGGAGGTAACTGAAGAAGAACCAAGAGAGATACTACCAATATTGTATCTATGTATAAGCCTTTAGTGTGATCATACTTGGAATATCTTATATTGGAAAAGCTGAACAAAATGCAAAATGTGGCAGCAGGAATGACTGAGGGATTATATGAAGTTTAGGGCTTTTAACTTGGAAAAATGGAAAGTAAGGCAAAATGAATACAGGTTTATAGATGTATGCTTAATGTAGATAGTGTTTTTTTCTTATCACTAACACTAGAATTTGGGATCATCCAGTGAAGTTGAAGGGAGACATATATATCTTTATATTGTATATAGTTTCATTGATATAATATATGATCTTGCCAGATTTTTGATCTGCCAGATTTTTGCACAAGAAGCTATCATCAATTCATCCTAACATCCTCATGAATCAGTGATCCTAGGCTATGCAGTTATTGAAAAGTCTGCTTGGCTTTGAACAATCTTTGTGCAAGTACCCTTTAAAGCAGCAGACCCTGAGCAGCCACTGTGCTTTGATCCAGATGGCAAAACTCTTCTGTGCATACTCAAATGCTCATCACTTTCCAGGGAAGCAAAAGATGTAGTTGGATGACTCACAGTAGAGGGATTCAATTATGCAAGTTGAGGCAGTGCATTGGACCTGATTGCTGGTATTCTGAATTGAAATGCTATCTTAAAGCCTATTTGACATGCTCTGGTATCTGGTATTGAATGTTATTTTGAAATAATTATAACGAGTACATGGAAATTATATCTCTGGTTTAATTATTTCAATACTTAAAGACTTAAAATTGTTTTGCAGAGATGCTGTTGAATTTTCATTAAGGAACCATTTAAAAGCTATTTAAAGTTTGATAAATATTATGGATTATTGTATGTTTTAATCATGAAAATCAAATTAGAGGTACTAGCCTCTACATGTATCAAACAGAAGAAGCCATGGCCTCGAATCACCTGGCTAGGAGAGGTAATTATAATTTTTTTATATATTGTACATTAAAGGTACATTCCTCCAAAAATTAAATCTTACTGGCATAACTTAAAGTCATTATGAAAATCTTAAGTAATATAGCAACAGCAATAATCAATCTATACACATTAGGAATTACAATAAAAATTGTCTGAGCAGTAGAAAAATGCATCATTGAAGTTTAAAATATCTACTTTGCTTAGAAAAGAGCTGAAAATCCAAAAGTTTGGATTTTTCTTAAAGCATTCTTATTTAAACTTGTTTTATTAACTAAAGATAATGTTCTTGAATTTTTCATTTCAATCTCAGATTTGTATTACCCTGACTACTATTATTGCAATTTATTTGATTTTTTAAAAAGTTATTTTATTCAAGATATTTTAATATACAATACTAATCATGTATTCCTTTTATATTTTATTCATACTCAAGATGCTTGAAAATCTTTTTTTTATTTGCTATGTTTTTAAAGTATTTTCTATTTTAAAATAAAAAATATATGTTCAAACTTGGATTTGTACTATGGTGTCTTGTAACTGAATCAGTGATAATTAAGGTATGATGGTTGAAATTACTTTTTCAATTTCAATTTTTCAACTCAATTTGTTTTTATTTTATTAAGTTTTTAATTTAAACTATATTGAATCTCTGATTTGGATACCTTATAAATCTAAATTATTACTACTGGTATTATCGTTGTTATCAAAATTCCATATCAGATCTTTTTGCTCAGAAAACAATTGTCAGAAAAATCAGCAGAAAAGTTTGTTTTCAAGGAACATTTTATCTTTGTGTAAGGATCAAGGAAAGAGTTTCTGAATCAAGTATTATGTTATTTAATGTTTTACTTTTATTTCTTATAGTGCTAGCCAAGTTCTTGAATTAATCCAGACATTCATTAGCAAGAAAAAAATGTAAAAAGATTGACATTCTTTTAATAGGAAAAAGAGGCCGTTTTCCTATTGGATGACAAAAACATACAGGAAATTAACCTACTTTCTGGAAAAACAAAAAAGAAAATTCCCCAATTACAGACTTTTCTGAAGAATGTCATTGTATTATCAACTTCAAGAAATGGTAAAGTATTACACTATGAATTCTTTCTACCTAAATGTATGAAGTTCTGTTTTTATATAATGCAAAGAAGTTTCTAATAATGAAAATTAGCAGTTCTTTAGTTGTTTCTGATGTAAATTGGTTAACCCTTTTTCTGGTCATAAATACACTTATGATGCAAAATTAGTCATGTATTTGGAATATTAGATCCTAATTGAATATATATTTAACTGGGAAGGAAAGAGTGAACTCACTGAAGAGTTAAGCTCATAGTGTACATATATAAGTATACGTGCATCACACTCTAAAATGATGCACTTTAATCTTTTCACATAGGAGCTTGGTTGGCAGGAATGCTTAAAACAGGAGAGCTCTTTCTTTGGAACAAGGACCAAGACATTATAAAGACTGTTCCAGCCATAGAGGAATCTAAAAAAGTGTCTATGGCAGTGCAAGGTATGATTATTCAATTAATATAATTGTTAAAAAAATCTTTTTTTTGCTTTCATCTTTAAAAAATACTCAGCATTTTAAAAAGAAATATATTAAGAACTGTACTTTAAAATTGTCATTTTTCTTATAGTATTTTTCATAAATATCAAGGGTACTACCTAATTGTCATGATGACTCAATATCTAAAATGTATACTTATTGAGGCTATTATTACTAAGTGTGTTGCTTATTTATGCAATAAAAGCATCAATGATAAAACATGTATTCTAGTTTAAATTCTTTATTCTATTACCTGATTAGAATTCTATTCTATTCTATTACCTGGTAAGAAACTATACTTGTTTGTGATAGCATGTGTTTCATTGTCATAAATTAACTAAATATTTTGAGTAGATTTAGAAGAACTGAATAATTCTAACTCAGCATTATTTTCTAGAACATTCCTTGAGGTTATGCCTACGTGTTTCTGGCAAAGGAAATAAAATACTTCTTGCTACTCCAGATGTCTGTGTCTTATTGTGGGAAAGTATAGAATCAAAAGCAACACCTTCTCAAATTTCTGCAATGGGGCAGTGGTCCCAAATTATTCCTGAAGCTTCAGTTGTGTTACCAGCCATCAAAGAAAAAGAAACTGTAATTGGTGCTGATTTTATTGAAAATGAGGTAAAATATAAACTGCATCTCATCTTATTCATTGATAATCTTATTTTTAAAATAGTGAATTTCTTATAACAGCCACATAATTCTGGTTATTATGGAAGAGTATGTGTTTATCTTAAGTAAATATCTACTTTGTATTGAAAGTAATTTATACTGAATCTGTGGTTATTGCCTGTATTATTCATAATTGGACTATGAATTATGGTGCTTATGCAGCCAGACATGTCACCCTCAAGTACATACTTCTGGATAAACGAGCATTTTTTAGGTGTCAAAATACACCCCCCCCCCAAAAAAAATCAGGTTTTGCTTATTTCGAGGATAGGCCTATCAGTGACTAAATACAGTAACACTTGTTAAAAGTATCTGTATTTTCCACTTATACGTAAGACAATCTGCAAATAAAGTGACCCTTGAATTTTTAACCAGACTACCAAGAAAAAGATGGGTTGACTAAGAGTGCTAAGAGTGGCATATTTTTCATGGTATGTCAGTTTTAAAAATTTGAGAGTTGGCTTATACACGGATGGGCTTGTACAGAATACAGATAGTCCTTGGTTAATGACTAGCTTAGCAACTATTTGAAGTTACAACAGATCCCCAAAATGCTTACAACTTGGATTGAAAGTTCCATGGCTGACCCCCATGGTCACATGATCCCATTTTGGGTGCTTAAAAAGCAGCCCACGTTCACAGCTCTTTGCAGCATTCCATGGACGTGTGACCTTGATTTACAACATTTTTTTTTCCTGAAAACAACTTTTACTTCCTGTTTTTGGCAAAAAAAATCTTATTGTGAACTGTAGGTTTACTTAACAACCCCACTCTGTTCACTTAAAACCTGCTTCACACATATACTTACCAATCGCTGCCAAAAAATGTTGTAAAATATAATGCTCAGCTCAGCTCAGCACTACTTAAAACTATAATTCTAGGCTAAATTATATTAATAAATTGAGGACTATCTGTATGTAAGCTGAATCCTGACATGGTTCAGGAAGGGATAAAATTGAATGGCAGGGATCATGAATAGGGAGTCTTCTATCTTGGCAATATTTGTATAGATCCTCCTTGGGACATATTTAATGCCCAATATCTTGGTCTTATCTATTTGCATTGGCATGTTCGCATGCAATGGCAATATACTGAATTTTCTGCTGTGTTTTGTACATGTTTCTTTCCAGACAACACAGTAGAATTTAGAATCCTAATCATCATATTGCATGGGCAAGATAGTTCATTATTACTGCAGTTTAATTTTTTAAGGATTAATAGGGGAATGGTTAAGTGTTCCATAACATATTAATTGCTGACCACTTGATAAAATATGAATAATTATCATATATAAATTTAAATAATTGATACATAGATACTTCAAGTGAGTTATTCAAAATGTTGATTTGTTGACAGGTATTGGGAAATTGTTGCTTGGGTTCTTTTGCATTTTATTCTGAGGACCAACTGGTGCTGATATTTTTGAAGATCAAATGGCAGGAGAACAGTTTAAACAATGCAAGGTAAAACATAAATATACTGACATTTAAATGCAGATGTTTATATCAGATATTTAGTAAAATGCATATGGTTTATGAATGAAAATTGCTGTTTATATGCATGCATGTATAGAAGGGACTAGGTGATAAATATATCATTTTGAATGAAAAATACATTAGATAGACAATTATATTTTTCCCCTTGACATCTCAATTTATATTTTAGGAATATATATAATCTGTGTTTCATAAAAAGTGGATAATAACTGCCAAAAAAACTAGGATGGATAGTACATTAAACCATAATATTTAGTAGATGAGATAGAAGGAACTTAAGTGAACTTTTGGACTAACATAGTTCTCTTTCACTATTTTTCAATTGCATAGCTCACTAACTTAACTTTTAATTTCAAAGAATCTAGGTTTAACTTTCCAGAAACTTTAGCTAATAAAAATGGGTGAAGTAGGCTGGTTTAATTATTTGAAGTCCATGTCGATTAACAATATCCTTTTGCATGCTTAACAAGAAGGAAAACTTGACTATACATCAATAAAATTATTTTCCATTTTTCCTGTAATATGCACTTTTTTCTTCATCCAATGTAGCTCTGTACCATGTCAAATCCATTGGGCACAACAAACATGCTCTCTGCTTAATTTGGTTCCCGCTTGTGAATCAGTGAAGTCAAGAGGTGCTTTGCTTACTGCATTCTCACATGATGGACTTGTGCTAGCAGTTGCTCTCAATCAAAAGGATCTACAGGTACCAATGTTAAAAGCATACTGAGAAAGTGACTTTATTAATATGGTGTCCTTTGTTAAATTTGGCTTTGTAAATTAGTTTGAATACATCCAGTATCGCCCTGATAGAAGAAGATGCCTAGAATTTAATTGCCTTCCCCTTTCAATTCTTGGCAACCGTCACTTTCTTACATTTATATATGATCACAGAGCCTATCTGGCATGCAAGGCCATAGAATAAAAAGGGAAATCCCTGTGAACCTTCCTCTGGCTACTTTTAAGGAAACTGCCCAGTCTCCAGTTCTACTTGCTACCCTTCATCCTATTAAAAGAATCTGCTGCTGCTTTCCAGGAAGGGGATGGGGGAACACTTCCTTCTGGTGGTGCAGTCTTTAATTTATTTAATTAGTTTTAATTAGTTTTAATTAATTTAATTTAAGACTCTCTTAAGTCAGGGCTGTCAAACTCCCAGGCCACAGGCCGGATGCATCACGCGCTGGCCACACCCATGCCCAGTTTAGCAAAGGGGGAAAAAGTCCCAATATGTCATGTGAGCCATGAGTTTGACACACCTGCTTTAAGTCTTAAAGTTTAAAATTATATTCAGCAAAAAGACTTCTGATGTAATCAAGGAACAGAGTAATTTTGTATCTTGTCCAGAATCAGCATTTATGTTCAACGAATAATTTATAAAAGGAAAATCAATTTAAGAAAAGATAAAGACACATGAAACATTAATAAATTGTTACATTTTATCCTGGTCTTTTGTCTATATTAAACTTATTATTATTCTTTTTTTTTTAATGCTCAGGCAACTCAAATTCTGTTTATGAGCACTAAGAATTTTATTACTACTTCAGGGAGTCTTAAAGGTTGTGGTAGCAAGAATCCCAAAATTCCATCCAAATTAATAAGGTCAGTATGAAACCAGCTTTTTTTCCCCCAGGAGATACTTTGAAATCCAGTGTGGATATTTTAGTTGCATGTTCCTGAAAATATGATTCATTGTATTGTTGAAGGTCTTACTGGATTTCTGACATGAGCTGGACTCCTGATAGTCTGTTTTTGGTTTGCATGTTAAAACGTGGATCTCTGATCATAATGACGTGCTTGGGTGAATTGATGACTTTAATTACTTATGGCTGCTCTGTAGAATTTGGACCAGCAGAATTTATTCCTCTGCATCCATTAATAACACACAGGTGAGATAATAAAACAGTTTAAAAAATGTCATCTGAACTTTATGTTTTCTTCCCTATATTTTCTAATAATAATAATTTGTTAAACTTGTATGCTATTCAACTCTCAACAACTCTGGCTGGCTCACAATAGTAAAAGAAACTACAATAAATTCAGTAAAATAAAAGATAAGATAAAAGGTGATCTGCATGATAGTCCAGAGGGAATTAAGTAAGGGGTCTTGCTCTTCTTTGCCAAAGGCGTATTTATATTTTAAATGTTTCATTTTTAAAACTTATTTTTTTATTCTCTGTCAGTGAAAATGTCACTGGCAAGAAAGATTAACTCCATCTTAAAGGACCTCTTCTCATTTTCTATGAGTGTAGCTTAACATACTGTATTCGGGGTGGGGATTTAGCCTAATATACTTTTAAGTGAGATAAACATTTTTGCATTATGATACTGTACATTAATCTTTTATTTTGTTGGTTTATTCTTCTATCTGCTAGATCACAGAACTCTTTCTTGAATTCTCATGATTCATCAGTTTCTGAAGGGGACTTCATGAGGCAGAGGTTTTCTGTCACATGTCACTCGAGTTTGCCTTATCTCCTTGCTTCTGATGGATACATGGTTACTGTTCTTAAATTTTCCAGTGAGTTTTCACCTTCTACATATACAAAGTCATTGCTGCTTGATTCAGCCCAACGTCTAGAAAAGTTGCACCACAATTTGATTACGTTCAAGGTAATCACTGCTTTCTTAATTTTTTATTCTCATATAATATTGGTTTGCAATTAAGGTCCATAGAGTCCTTTCTGAAAATGGCCATAAAACAGTTGCTACTTACAATAATTTGTTTGTTTCTTTAAGAAGGTATCCAATTATGAGTTAACACTCTCTTTCCCCAAGAATTGGAAATTGCTTAATATTTTGCCAAAGGGTAATTCTCAGTGTTCTTCTGTATTTTACTTAAAATCAACTTTTCTACTTTCCTCAACTTACAACCATTGTTTAGTGACTGGCTGAAGTTACTGTACACTGAAAAAAGTGACTCATGACCATTTTTCACACTTAATGACTGTTGCAGCATCCCCATGGTCACACAATCAAAATTCAAATGCTTGGCAACTGGTTCATATTTATGACAGTTGCAGTGTCTTGGAATCATGTGATCCCCTTTTGTGACCTTCTGACAAGCAAAGTCAACAGGGGAGTCAAATTCACTTAACAACTGTATTACTAACTTAATAACTGCACTTATTCATAACTGTGGCCAGAAAAGTCATAAAATGGGGCAAAACTCACTAAACAACTGTTTTGCTTAGCAGCAGCAATTTTAGACTCAATTGTGGTCATAAGTCAAGGATTACCTGTATTCTTTTCTGATGAAAATGTCTTCTGTTGCTCTCTTCTATACATCTCTTTATTCTTCTGCTTAAAGTTTCAGACTTTATGTTGTTCTCTTCCATAGTCTGAGGGGAAAAAGCAGCCACTGCAGTCATTGTCTTCTTTAAGAGCTAATCTCCTACAATATGAAAATCAACTTTCTACTTTCTCTGGCACTCCAAAGTTTCTACAAGAAGAAGAGGCAGCCACTGAACTAATTGAAGAAATATCACTATTCCAGGTATTCTCATTGCTTTGTAACATTGAATGATTAATGTTAATAATTGTAAATCATAATAAATAAATAGTAAAATATTTAATAATATAATGTGAATGAGAATAATTGTCATATAGAAAGGCCATTTTGTTTGTTTGGAGGATAGTAATGTAGAATTTTATGTTTATGGTTTTCTGTTACGGATAAATCTTCCTTTTTTCTGTTCTGGTGCTCAGAAGGCTACTTATGTGATACAGAATCCCTAATCTTAACTTAGAGTGAACCTATACAAAAATATCAAACATTTTATCTTGGCTAAGTATTCATTTACATTTTGCTGAATAGATATTGAACCATTCGTACACCAAACTGACCATAGAGCCATGAAGAATTTAGATATCTCACTTGCAACAGTTTGTAGACCAGCACTTAGAGAAATATTATGTTTCACATTTTTTTCATGTGTTGTATGTGTATATGTGTGTACATATATATATTGTACTGTATATGTGGATATAATTATTACTGATACATATGTCACAAAATAAGCATCTTTCAGATGTATAACATTTTTTTAATATAGGAATGCAATGAAGAATCCAGTGATGACAATTTTTTTCAAAGTAACTCATACATTTTGAGAAGCCAAAAAGCAGATTTCGCTTTAAGTGATGAAGGCCAGCTGGAATTTGCATCAATGTTTGACACAATTCATGCTATAGATGGAACAGACAGAAAAAAAGATGGCCTGTTGTTTGAACTGAACCATATTCAAAAGAATCTCATCGCTGCTTGGAGAGTGGGCACTTCAAGAAGTATAAAAGAAAAAGACATATTATTGAATTTTAACATTCGTTGCATTGTATACTTCTTTAACATTCTCCAGCATGTGAAGCTGAAAGAATTAGATCATCCTGTCAAGAATCAATCATGGATACAATGTGTCTTAAACTGTTTCCACCAATTTTTGACGGTCCTAAGTTGGGATAATCAACACGGACAAACATTGGGGCATTTAATGAAATTCACAATGCAGACCTTGAAACTGATACTTGCAGGACAACAAGATCACTTTTTCTCCACTAATCTTTTGGGAGGATTCTCATTGCTGAAGATGGTTATTCATTATTTAAATGTCCAAAAAATACCACAGTATGAAGGTCTTCTAGCAGATCTGAATGGTAGTAATAAAGTGGAACTAGATTCTATTGATGTGCCTCTGTTTCAACGCATGGATTGGAATAGTCACCAGAAGCACTGTGCAATACATTCTGTGCTAACGTGTTCTCTTACAATGGCAAACCAAACTGAGAATCAAGAAAAAAGGTATTTCTTGTATGAAAATATTACTTTAAATATTTTACTATTTTGATGCGTAGTGTAACTTGAATCATGAATAAAATATCGTAAATAAGAATTCTGGAACAAGTAAAATGCAGCATTTGAGTTCGTGTAACCCTTCTGGTTTCTTAACACCTGTAATAGATTTTAGTATGAGACCCAGAATGCCAATAAACCGTGGCCACAGCCAATTTATGCCATGATCTGTCAACATCAGTTTTCAGATCTTAATACTTTATCATCATCTCCAGTTCTTTGTCTTCTACAGTATTCTTCTATCCCCTGGTATTGCCCATCAATTAATCACACTTTATTTTTTTCAACCACAGTTAAATTTGTGCATTATGAGCCAAGACATTACCAGTTTGTATTTGGAAATCCCGCAATATTTAACCTGCTCATTTTCAATTTTTCATTAGTGTCCCATGTTATTTTTTATAAAATTATTTATTCCATTGAATAATTTTGGTGACTGTTATATCATTGTTCATAATCAATTTGTGTGATCTTGCATGAGCTGAATATCTGATCTACCATTTCTTCACACAATCCACACTTCGAGTCACTTGATCATAATGATGGTAGTATAATTATTACTTATGGGCCTGGTTTGCAGCCCTGAATTTCCTGGTGATTTCTCTTTGAAATACTAGTGTAAGAATATAGAATGTGTAAGGATTTGTCAATAGCTTGCTTTAATTTGTAACTTTAATTCTTTTTAAATTTAGGTTAGCTGTAATCTGGCGACACTTGTATAAGCATGTGATTTGGTATTGGGCACAACTAAGCAGAAAAGTGAATAACTCAAACAAATCAATGACTGAAATCCAAATTGCTCAGGAAATTCCAGTGGCCAAAGCACTTGCAAGCCATATACAGGCAATCTTACAGTCTTCGGGAGAAAGTTTGGAACAGCTTCTGAATCTTAGGTCTCTGAATGGTTAGTGTCTTGAAGAAACCACCATCACTTCATCACCTTGCATAAATATATACATGTAAATAAAAAATTGATCCTCCACCACCTGCAATGCTAATAACTGACACAATTTAAGGGACTGAATTGACCTTAAATTCTGCCTTCAGCGGGATGAGATATCCAACAAAGGGTTAATGTTCCCATTAACTCTTACGTTGAGAAACAAAACAGATTCCTGATAATACCCACAGTGAACTTAATTCATTCAGATTTTTTTTTCCTAATAAGTATCAATGTCATCTGTGTGAGAACAAAATAATTAATGGTTGTTGGTCTCAAGCAAACTGGCCTGAAGATTAAGATTAATTTAAATGCTAGATTTCAATTTGTTTTTAAGGTGAGGAAGAGTTCCTGATAGGATCGTATAAAAAGTCTGTGGAAGCCTGGGAGAGAGCTTATCAGGAATCAAAAGCAAAAGGTATGATAGTGGTTCCATTTTTAAGGTTAGTCCTTTCTGCAAAAATTACTTGTTTTAAGAGATACGGGTGGTCTTTTTGTTATTGTTGACATTGGAGTCTCTTTGTAGCAGTATGGTGGGTAGAGTTGAAGAAAGCAGTGAATGGGGCCAAAGCCAAAAGTAGGTGATAAGATCTTTCTAACTCTGATACACTTTCTTGCACTTTGTGTTCCCTATTTTCTGTGCTGATTGTTTCTATCCCAAGCAGCAGACTGTAAGGAAGGTTGCTCTTAAAGATTTTCAGAGGACATTTGACACTGGACAAAAGAGCAGAGGTGGTCCATCTCTAATTTAAAGTTTTTATATCTTTCTCTTTACCTTGGAAGTATACAGGTGAAACTCGAAAAATTAGAATATCATGCAAAAGTTCATTTATTTCAGTAATGCAACTTAAAAGGTGAAACTAATATATGAGATAGACTCATTACATGCAAAGCAAGATAGTTCAAGCCGTGATTTGTCATAATTGGGATGATTATGGCTTACAGCTCATGAAAACCCCAAATCCACAATCTCAGAAAATTGGAATATTACATGCAATCAATAAAACATGGATTGTACATAGAACAGTATTGGACCTCTGACAAGTATAAGCATGCATATGTACTCAGTACTTGGTTTGGGCCCCTTTTGCAGCAATTACTGCCTCAATGCGGCGTGGCATGGAAGCTATCAGCCTGTGGCACTGCTGAGGTGTTACCGAAGACCAGGATGCTTCAATAGCGGCCTTCAGCTCTTCTGCATTGTTCGGTCTCATGTCTCTCATCTTTCTCTTGGCAATGTCCCATAGATTCTCTATGGGGTTCAGGTCAGGTGAGTTTGCTGGCCAATCAAGCACAGTAATCCCACGGTTATTGAACCAGGTTTTGGTGCTTTTGGCAGTGTGGGCAGGTGCCAAGTCCTGCTGGAAAGTGAAGTCAGCATCCCATAAAGCTCGTCTGCGGAAGGAAACATGAAGTGCTCCAAAATCTCCTGGTAGACGGCTGTGTTGACCCTGGACTTAATGAAACAGAGTGGCCCAACACCAGCAGATGACCTGGCTCCCCAAATCAACACAGACTGTGGAAGCTTCACACTGGACTTCAAGCATCTTGCAGTGTGTGCCTCTCCATTCTTCCTCCAGACTCTGGGTCCTTGGTTTCCAAATGAGATGCAAAAGTTGCTCTCATCAGAAAAGAGGACTTTGGATCACTGAGCAGCAGACCAGTTCAGTTTTTCTTTAGCCCAGATAAGACACTTCTCACGTTGTTTGTTGTTTAGGAGCGGCTTGACAAGAGGAATATGACATTTGAAGCCCATGTCCAGGATCCGTCTATGTTTGGTGGCTCTTGATGCGCTGACTCTAGCCTCAGTCCACTCCTTGTGAACGTCCCCAGCACTTTTGAATGGCCTTTTCCTGACAATTCTCTCCAGGCTACGGTCATCCCTGCTGCTTGTGCGCCTTTTTTTCCCACACTTTTCCCTTCCACATAACTTTCTATTAATGTGCTTTGATACAGCACTTTGGAAACATCCAACTTCTTTTGCAATTACCTTTTGAAACTTTCCCTCCTTATGGAGGGTGTCAGTGATGGTTTTCTGCACAACTGTCAGGTCAGCAGTCTTTCCCATGATTGTGATTCCTACTGAACCAGACTGAGAGACCATTTAAAGGCTCAGGAACCCTTTGCAGGTGTTATGGTTTAATTAGCTGATTAGAGTGGGACACTTTGAGCCTAGAATATTGAACCTTTTCACAATATTCTAATTTTCTGAGATTGTGGATTTGGGGTGTTCATAAGCTGTAAGCCATAATCATCTCAATTATGACACATCACGTCTTGAACTATCTTGCTTTGCATGTAATGAGTCTATCTCATAAATTAGTTTCACCTTTTAAATTGCATTACTGAAATAAACGAACTTTTGCACAATATTCTAATTTTTCGAGTTTCACCTGTATATAAGTTCAGTGATGGTAAACCCACGCAGTTCTTTCTGTTTATAATCTAAAAACAGTGTGATATTGCACAAAAGGAAAAAGGCAACAAGACTTGCCAATTTCAATTAACATCATTAAGCAAGGATTACCTGCATATTAAGGTATGAGTTTAACTGAACTTCAGCAAATTCCTTCAATACTCCTTAATGCAATTCATCTGCAATTGTGTATTGAAGAATATTCCTTAGCTAATAATTTGGTATTTGTTTTTATTTCAAGTCTCAATCTGGCCCTTTCATCCAGCTCCTGTTCCACAATTGGCCTGCATCCAACATAGCGAGGCAAGATAAAAGTATGCAAATTGTCAGTGTGCTGTAGTTGCAGCTAATAATCTTACAGCATGTAGACCTTAAGTCCCTTATGTGTGATGCTTCCTACACTATCACCCCTTAGAATTCCATTTCATGCTCCTATCATCACTGTAGCAATTGTTTTGTGTCCTCTTTCACAGAATAGTTTCATGCTTGTCAACCTACCACATCATTTTCTCTTTAATCTGTCTTTATATTTTGCCCATATAGCCTCTTAAAGTAGTAATTATGTTGCTTGGAGAGAAAGATAGAGCTCCATCACAGCATTCCTATCCTAAATGGGTTTGTAATTGCCTGGGGAAACATGGGGAGAGAGAAAGATTGTACAAAATAGAAATAAAGATAATATGTGTACATACCTGAATTGGAGGTTTCTAAAACTGCCTCACGCTTTTCTTATTGGGTATATGCAGACAGAGAATCTAGCAATATAGCATTTGGTGCAGATAAGAAAAAGCCAGAAGTAAAAATAAGATAATTAAAATTATTAAAAGTTAAGCTTAATATTTATAAACTAGAACACTGGGATTCAAAAGAGTTTGCCTATGCTAATTTTTCTTTGCAATAATGCTGTTAAAGAGTTCAAGTTGAAAAATCATTCAGTTAATCTTGTTTAAATTACTGTTTATCAAATGATTCAAATGAAATGTATTCTTATATAATAATCTAATATAATAATTGCATCATGTATTTCTATTTTCATTTATGAATATGGATCTGAGAAGTAGATTTGCATTATTTTTTTCTATTTTCATTTATGAATATGGATCTGAGAAGTAGATTTGCATTCATATATGCATAGGGTTTATTTTTATATAACTAGGATTATGTTTTTAGCTTTTCTCCAATTATTTTTCTTCTAAATATAGGGGGAAAGAGAATACCCTTTCTTCAAACTCGATATTATCTTGCTATTTTATATTCCCATCTGTATCATTATAATATAAGTGAGGCTCAGGGTCTGTGTGATCATCTGGTATATGAACTTCTAAAACGAAACCAAGTTTCTGTAAAAAACCGAGATGTTATGACAGGTATGTAGATGCAGAATTCTTCTTTCATCACTCAAGTTACATATAATAATGCAAGTAGTTTTCAGTTAAGGACAATAATTGTTACCAGCAACTCAGTTACTAAGCAACACGGTCATAAAGTGAAAAGTGTTTGCACCGAAATATTCCAGCATTCCAGTTGCTATCATTAAACACAGTGTCGTGTGACCACAACTTTTAACTCCCTGCCAACTTCCTCATTTGTCCTGTTTGTTGGGAGTTGGCACTGAAGGTCCCAAATGGCGATCACATGACTGTGACACATTGCAACGGTCATAATTATGAGCTATAATTGCCAAGCACCCAAATTGCAATCATGTGACTAAGACGCTGTGATAGTTGCAGCTTCAAGGACCATCCATAAGTCTCGTTCAGCACTATCTAATTTTGAACATTCACTGAATGAGTCATCACTAAATATATTTAATTTGATATGTTGCAGATGTATTGTTTTTGTTACAGTGTTATAAACATATGTTGTTCATCATTTCTATATGGATAATAGAACATTGCTTTGAATTACATTATGCAGTTTTTATTTGGTTGCTTTTAAACTCTTTCCCTCCCAAATCTCCCAAAATTTTCCCCCAAATCTGGCTTAAGATATAGGTAGTCCTCAATTTATGGCACAATTGAGCCCATGGTTGATGTTGTTAAATTAGAAATTTGTTAAGTGAGTTTTGCCCTGTTTTATGACTTTCCTGGCCACACTTGTTAAGTGAATCACTAAAACTGTTAGATTAATAACAGTTGTTAAGTGAATCTTCCTTCCCCATTGTTTTTGCTTGTCCAAAAGTCGCAAAAGGGGATTGCATGACCCCGGGACATTGTAACTGTCATAATAGGAACCAGCTGTCCAGCATCCAAATGTAAGTCACATGACCATTGGGATGCTGCAACGGTCATAAGTGAAAAATGGTCATAAGTCACTTTTTTCAGTGCCATTGTAACTTCAAACAGTCACTAAAATTGTTGTAAGTCAAGGACTACTTGTACAGTGTCTTCAAAAATGAAATGGCTATTATCTTGTAATAACTATCAGCGTATCTGCTACAACTCTTTTTTTCTCTAAAGCACACTGATTGTCTTGCCTCAAAACACGGTGTTTGACATTTAAAATGGTTCGCTTCAAAATATTTTGTGTGTCACTATTTGGGGGTTCAGTATAGTCCTATCCCAGCAGCACCTGCCCTCTGCGGGAAGATGGCATTTCAGAAAGTCTTAAAGTCCTAGCTGTTCTCACATGCCCTTGGCTAGCTTGACTGGAGCTCCTTGCAGGATGTATATATTTGTGAGGTTGGGTGAATTCACAATTTTGAACTTTATTTTTGCTTGTTCTTACTTTGTTTCTTTTCTTACTCCTTGTATACTCTATTTTCCTTGTTCTATTGTGAGCTGCCTGAAATTGTTCTGGAGTTTGGCAGCACTTACATCAAATCATTCATTGTTATTATTGAAGTAAGCTCCATTAAGATCAGTAAGACTTACATTAGTATAAGATTGCAGTCTTTGGCTTTTGTTTCTGAAAGACCAAGGAATTCTTACATGCTGAGTAGTAATAACTTTATTTTGAGCTTTTTACTTCATTCAATTACCCGAGACTTGTTTAAATGTTCATTTTAGATGCTGAATGGATAAAAGATATTCATGCTGAAGCTGCTCTGGCAGTGGTTCAGTCTTTGGCCCGATTCATGGCAGCCTACTTCACTAATGGGCCAATTTATATACTTCCTCCCCACAGTGTTGGTATCTTACCACCACTTCATATCAAGCCAGGTACCTTTTGATATTGTTTCATATGCTTGCTTACTGCTATAGTGACAAGAAACATTACAGAGCTGTATTGAGAGGTAATCTCCATCCTGCCCTATAGAAATGCACCTAACGTGGATTGGATATTATTGGATAGTAGTATTTTGTAGTTATTTCCTAATGTACAATTTATCTCGTTCATTTAGCTGCTGCTCCATATCTCTTTTAAGTAAACTAATGTCATAATGCTTGTCTTTGACATTCCTCTGAATGAAAAATGTTCCTCCTTTAAATACATCCAATGTGACAGGCCCTGTTCTTGCAGAACTGAAAATTGTAGCTGCTGGTCTAAATTTCTGGGATAAAAGTAGGATGTTTGGTGGGTTGGATATCTGATGCAAATTATCTACAGTTCTGATGACTGTTCAGCTTATCGGAAAACAGGCTCAGAACTCACCTGGTCTTACTTTTAAGTAAGTTTGCAAATAATTAGCCATTGAGCAATTTAAGAACAAAATAAACTCACAACAACTACTTTTTATTATAGATGGGAACTTTCGTATTATTCCTCTGCAACATTCCAGAGTCACTGAAGCAGTTAGGGATAATGGCCTGTCTTTTACTTGGACTGTAGAATATACTCTTGATTTGTTGCTCATCAGTGGACTGATTCCAGAAGCTGTGTGGCTAGCCCAGAAACTTGGAGATTGGAAAATGGCTGTTTCAATCGGAGTGGCTTATCAACTATATTGTCAAAGTAATAAAAGCTTACCGAGGTCAGTCATATATATAAACAGTAATGTATAATTATCATGAATTGGTATTATAGTATTTACCATGAATAGATATTTATCATAAATGGATACCATCATCATTATCATCCTGAATCTATAGCAGGATAAAAGCCTCCACTTGAAAGTTATGAAACATAAGCTACCATAATGGTTAAGGGCAGGTTGATAGGTAGTTATTTTTTATTTACCAGTCTAATGCCGAAGATAAAGTGAACCCAAATCATCAATTTTGTTTCTGTGCCTAAGGAATGACAAGAAGCTGATTTTCCAGCTCATGAACTAGTACCTTAGAAGGTGCTTTTCCAGCTCATGAGCTAGTACCTTAACCACTGCAGGTGGATGGATGGAGAGAGAGAGAGAGAGAGATAAGCTCTGTGTTTCTCTATGTGTGTGTTAGTAAATATAAAATAGGTAAATCTACCAAATCTAGCAGTATTTTGTCAGAAATATAGACTATGAACTTTTCTATTTGGTTTATTGGTGGACCACTTCAAAGAGAAGTGACAGAAAAACAGCAATTTTCTTTTTTGTAGTATTTTTTTCATCAATATTGGTTCCATTTTAGTGACATGGTATGATATAAGTTGCTAGCACATTGTGTGATGAAGCTTTAGCTCACACACCATTACTTGGTTTTGTCATAGCATGTTTCAACCCAACCAGTTATGGCTACTCAATAACTGATAGGTAAGCAACTATGGTTTGGGGCAGTGTGATAATTCAGACATAAATATTGGGCTCTTAGTAGTAATCTGTGTAAGTAGCTGGGTTGTTTGGGATTTGTTGTGTATCTTGAAACTTTAGAGATGGTCCCTACATAAAGAATCCAACTTTTAGAGATAGTTTTGATGTTTTAAACACAGATTATTAAGAGATTACAATCCTTGCAGAGTTATGGATATCATCTCTGTTGAGGTAATTCCCTGTTAGGAGAATGAGCGCATACAGGGAGACGTATTTGAGAGAAGTGTTTGAATAATACACACACAGAACACAGATACACTGTACAGTAAATGTAGGTTTTTACTTCCAGAAAGGTTTAAGTGCAAACACAGTCCAAAGTCATTCACAAGTAAATCAGTCAGTTTTCAATCTAGGGATAATCCAAATATCAAAGTCCAGTGTCAAAAAACAGTTCAGTATCAGACTTACATCAAATCCAGAAATATCAGTCAATTAGGAAAAATGGAGGAACGGCAATACTTTCCAACAGGAGGAAACAAAGATACTCACTCAGACACACTCTCTTCTGAGACTAAGACTAAAACAAACCAGGTTTCTGGCTCCATCTTACAGCTGTTTGAGAAACCACACCCAATTGCATGCTCTTGCATTCCCTTAAAGAGAAAGTATTAAAATGTCTATCCTGGTTTATATATTTCTAACCCAAATACCTGTTAGGTGACTTATATTCCTAACAATCTCTTTCCTCCATCCAACAGATATTGCATTTGTAATCCATGGCAATTGGGCATTCACTCTTTCTAGTTACAATGTATGAAATGATAATTGCAATAATTTTACAGGTCAATAAGAAACATCTCTAAGATTTCAAAGGACACCCCCTCCAATAGGTTTCTTTTGCAATATTAGCTCTTTTAGAGTTTCATATTATACTGAATGGGACAAATATCATTTTCTTTAATCAATATTTTTCTTTTGTGACTACCCTTGAGTAAATTCCATGTGTGACTAAGCAGAGGCCATTTTGAGAATTATTTGAAGCTACCCTGTTATTCTTAATACAATTTCAGGTCAGGGAAGGTGGAATTATTCCTGCCATTACATTTGACTCCAACAAACATTTTTCAAGAAAAGCTACAATCTTTCTTGGGTCAGCCTGTCAACAATGAAACAACAAATCAGGGAAACCAGAGATATAAGCAACTCACAGGTGAACAATCTTTTAATATAAATTTGTTCTTTTATTGTATTTCTAATCACTTTCGTGTAAATGATGTTATTTCCACATCAGGAAACAAGTGGAAATATCCTTAGGTATTCTTTATGCCTTTCCTAATATACATATTTATTTAATAGACATTTACAAGCAGACAACTATCAACTCTTCCAAATGATGAAATATGATTATATAAAATTTTAATCAATTTATACATTTCTGAACTAGATTTATAGAGATAAAATATTTCTTCAAATATCTGATATATCCGTGTTGTGTCTTTTTGGTCATTTTCTAAAGATTTTCAGAAACCTACACATATTACTTTAATAGCTCTCTTTTTATAGCCATTCATTTTCAGGGATAAGGTGTCATTAAATAATATCAACTTTGCTGGTCATTTTTTCACTGAAGCCTTTCATTGAGGGCCACATCAGGGTTGTGTTTAACCTTGGGGCATTGAGATGAGTGTTGTCAGTGTGACGTCATTCATGTCAGGGTAGCCTATGGTGGCTTGAGCACTCTACCAGTGAAAACGGGCTTCCAAACTTCATTTTCGGCTAGGACAGCCTCCTGCAGCCCTCTGCCAGTGAAAACGGAGTTCAGGAGGGCTGCACACAGCCCTCCCGAGTTCCATTTTTGTTGGCAGAGGCACCACAGGCTAATCATTTGCTGTTTCCAGAGTGGTCCTGCAGGACAGATCTAAGCACCCTGAGGGCCGGATCCAGCCCCCAGGCCTTGAGTTGACACCCCTGGTCTATATGAATGATTGTGGAGACTTTTTTGATATTTAATTCACTAATATTGTGGTTATATTTGTGTTACAACCCTGTAGTGTTTATCTGGAAATATACTGACTGTTATAACTAACATAATAAGCCATTGTTATGAAAGAAATATGAAATATTTTTATTCTCGTGATCTTGTTATTGTTAAAAAAATTTAAGCCTGAGGCAACACAAAGGCTCCACAATTTTTTATTCTGGATCAAATGCAGCAACTGATAGACGTATCAAAATTCTGAATAAAATTCTCCTGGCATTAGCAAAGATCCTTAGACGTGTTAATTAAGTGAGGCAGCACTTTGAAAGTTAAAACTGTCATATGTAGTATAACATACAGAATACAGCCTGAATGAAATGAAATACATTCATTTGCAAAATGCAAATGCAAAAGTCTCAGGAAATTATATTATAAATTATATTAGTAACTCAGTGTCACTATCATTTTGAACTAAAATATATATCTACATTTTACCATATATTGTCTTATTTATTATTATTGCCTTTTTGCTTGTTTTAGATCCTATTGAAGAAGAAGATGCAAGTTCCCTTTTTAATTCAGTAGAACAAATATTAAAAGCAGCTGTTATGGCAGAAGCAGACATTCTGTCAGAAACCTTTCAGGTTTTGATGGACTTTGCCAAGGATCAAAGTAGAAAATTCTGCGGCTTAGTTCCTAATGGCTTATATCTCCCAGCACCACCTTTATATTGTCCTCAGCCAACATTTGTGAGTGAAGAATGCATCTCAGGGTTGCATGAACATTTTTTATTTTTTTTGTCTTGCTAATTTTTTTCTGTTACGTTTCAGACTAGTTTTTTCTTTCAAAGAAGTACTAGCTTTATACACTGTATGCATATATTTATTAATTTATCAGGTGCTCTTGTAAAGAATCAATACTACTTATATTTTTGTGCGTTTGTTGCAGTTTCCTAAGTGTGCAAGGGAACACTATGTAATCCACTGTAAAGGAATTCAATATAGTTCCTATATAAAGGTAGATAAATGTTCCCTTCTGTGGAAGAAAGAATACCTCTGTTCTTATATCAAATATTGTATCTGTATTTTTTTATTCAAAGAACTTGGTTCCTTGGCTTAGCGTAGTTCTTTCTATTGCAGTACATTAACCCCTGTGAACTAAACTTTCACTATAGAGCATATAGAACTGTGTATATATTTACTTATATTTATTTGATCATAAAACACATTGGTAAATACTATGAAACTATAGTGCTTTTCTTTTCACACTTTAGTAGATCAAAGGAATTAGGGAATTAGGATGGGTAGTTTGTATTGGGCTTACACTTTCCTTGGGAATGTTCATATTGTAAAACTTTTAAATTTTATAATAATCTAGGAAGAATATGCTGATGTACCATTAAGAGTAGAGAGAGACTGCAGACAGAAAATATCTGGAATTGTTCAGCGGATTCTTCTTCTTTTCCGAGCTGCTCATTGTTCTTTTGCTGCTGCTCAATGGTATATTGCGCGGCTGAAACATGTACGAAGAGTCATGCAAAAGGTACATATTATTTTAATAGTATATAAAGTGATGATAATATACGGAAGACCACCTTTTTGGACTTGATATATTTCGTACTTCTATGATAGCTCTGGGTTTTATTTTTTTGTTCTCTACCTTAAACCTAGAATTTTGCTATCCTGTAGGTTACTTTCAGATAGAATCTTTTAAATAATCTCTGGAAGGCAAATGCCATGATTCATGTGAGGTTTATTTGCTTTTTATTATATAGACTATCTTAAAAATGTATGTCCTAATTTGTTTGCAAATATAATCACTGGGACATTTCCAAGTTGACCATGCTCTGGTGAAACAAAGCTTGAAATGGCTTGACTGTTCCAACAGTGGAAAATAATTGGAGTTTAGAGAAGTCTTTTTGGTTATCTGTATTTCTTAGAAGTAAATTCCAAGCTGTTCACCTCTCTTAATTCAGAAACGTAGCTGCAGCCCGATCACCTTCTTTACAACTTTCCCAAAAGGAGAGGTTGTAGATTGGATTGCCCAGGAAGATTGGATCTGCCGATGACCTCTTAAGGAAGATGTACCACTCCCTCCTTCAAAGCTAGCAGAACCACCTTCCTCTCTTGAGAAAGGCCAATGCCCAACTGTATATCCCTTTCCAAATGGTCTTCACAAACCGGGAGTGACAACACCTGGCCAGATAACAATCTTGAGAAACCTGTCTAGTTCATTAGGAATTACAGAATCTAAGAGATGTATACATTGATATTGTGTAGAACAGGGGTCACCAACCTTTTGGACCTCAGGGACCACCAAACTCATTATTTTAAATCCCGCGGACCACTAACGTGAATTTTGACTGATGTGGCTTGCTGACATTGGTGGGAGGGAGAAGGAGTGAGAGAGATCCGATCTAACCTCGAGGGCTGGTGATTTTCTTTCTCTTTCTCTCTCTCACACACACCCTCACCCTCTCCAAGGAAGCCACATCCCTAGCCTGCTTTTGAGCTCCGTTCTCAGGCTTCATGCAAGGAAAGCAGCAGAAGTCTTTCTTTCTCTTCCCCACAAACTCCGTCAGAAATGACTCTTTGCCAGCGCAGCCTCTTGGAGCAGGATGCCTTGGAGGGTCCCAAAGACTCATTTCTGGCAGAGTTTGAGGTAGAGAAAAAAAAGACTTCTGCTGCTTTCCTTGTGTGAAGCCAAAAGCAGAAGAAGAAAGAAGCAGAAAAAGCAACCCGGTGGCCAGGCAAGTTCCCCAGTCCTCCCTTTCCCCACTCCACTCACTGCCTCGTGTTGTTCCTAATGCAAGTGACGCAAACCTTGTGTTCCCACCAGCAATGTGGGAGGCGCAGACTTGTGTTCCCCCACAGCCTGGATTAATTGCTTTGGGGTGTGTGGCATTTCTCTGTGGACCACCAAAATTTTCTCACAGACCACCACCAGTGGGCTGCGGCCCACCGGTTGACAACCGCTGGTCTAGAACATTCACAGTGTCCCAATAAATGGTAGTTAATGCTGTCCCTCCCATATAAGGAATGGGTCACCACAAAAAGGCCACTGGTTAGCTATTAGCAGATACATAAGATGATGAAGAAACAACTATGCTTTGCTATTCTTATTGCCAAAATGAATAGCTACCACATACACACACACATATACATAAGCTGCATTCACTAAAAAAAGTCATCAAAAAAGCACAACAAAGAATGTTCTTTCTACACCAACTCAGAAAGCTCAAACTGCCCAATGAGCTGCTGATACAGTTCTACAGAGGAATTATTGAGTCTGTCAGCTGCACCTCTGTAACTGTCTGGTTTGGTTCTGCGACCCAACAGGACAGACACAGACTTCAGAGGATAATTAGTACTGGAGAAAAAACAATTCCTACCAACCAGCCTTCAATCGAGGACCTGTATACTGCATGAGTCAAAAAGAGGGCTGTGAAAATATTTACAGACCTCTCACATCCCGGACATAGACTGTTTCAACTCCTTCCCTCAAAACGACTCTATAGAGCACTGCACACCAGAACAACTAGACACAAGAACAGTTTTTTCCCCGAACGCCATCACTCTGCTAAACAAATAATTCCCTCAACACTGTCCAACTATTTACAAAGTCTGCACTACTATTACTATTAATCTTCTCATCACTCCTTATCACCCATCCCCTCCCACTTATGACTGTATGACTATAACTTTGTCATTTGTATCCTTATGATTTATATTGACTGTTTCCTAGTATGATTTGATTGCTTATTGTACCCTATGACTATCATTAAGTGTTGTACCTTATGATTCTTGACTCTTGACGAATGTATCTTCTTTTATGTACACTGAGAGCATTTGCCCCAAGACAAATTCCTTGTCTGTCCAATCACACTTGGCCAAGAAAGAATTCTAATTCTAATTCCAATTCTAAACATATGAAATGCCCTCCCGCATCCCCTTTACACATGCAAATTGCTTACAAACTGCCCTTGTAAAAAAAAAAAATGCAGCAAGCTGAATTAATCCTGAGTAGTGAAAAGAATCAGAGCCAGGAACTTGTGGCCCAGTAAACCAGGTTGTTCATATTCACTGACCATATTTCAAAGATGCTCTGCTTAGTTTGCTGACCTAGTAGGAAGGAATAAATAATAAGGTCATTACAGATGGTTTTATCTAAAACATTCCAATGCCATGTTGTAATTTATATTGTGTCTTCCTTTTTCCTCTGTTGTTTTGTCCCTCTTTCTCATTGCAGATTCACAAAAAAGGTGCTCTTCCTCCTTTAAGCGATCTTCCAGAAAATTTGCTGAAGTATTCCAATTATCATACTGTGTTCTTACGGCCTTCTTCTTTTGGAGACCATAACTTTGATGCTGTTTCATGTAAAACTGTAGGTGTGTATCTGCAAAAATTCCAATATGCATTTAAAGAAGAATAAAATGCAAAGCAAAAAAAAATGCCTGTCTCCCTGTAACAGCACTTAAAAATGTTTAGGTACTATGAGGACAGCGTCATCTAATCTAGGTTTAATAGTACAGTCAGAGCCTGTGGGAGATTCCCATCTGGCCTCTTGCATATTCCTCTGCTATCAAGCAACGAATCACTTTCCTGGTCCATTCAAGTAGAGAGTGTGTGTTAAAAGAAGAAAAGATTTCCATTCTAATAAGCTGAGGACTAAATTGGGTTGTAGGATGAAAGTAATCTAGTTGCTGATTTTTCTGACATTCCATTCCTTTTCAGTATATCTTATTGATCTGCTAACACAAGAAAGGGCATTTTTAAAATGTTCATGTGACTTCTTGTTAATATGTTGGGTAAATTGTTGCTATAAAATGAGACAACACATCATAGTTAAGGTTAATTGATAGAAGGAAAGTGAAGAAGTTGATGATAGTAAACAATATAGCCATTAAAATAATATACTCATTGCCTGCAGAAAATACAGAAATGTTACTTATTTTATGATGTACTCCCTGTTCCATTTTGAATTTTTTGCATGTCTCTCTTGCAGGATGCTTTCGAGAATTATGTGTATTGTGCTGGATGCTTCATGTTCGTGAAAGATTGTCTGATAGTTGCAGACGGTATCAAAAAGCAAGGGAGAATTTGGAAAATCGGAATGTAATTAAAATAAGACATACTTCTCTCTCTCTCTCTCTCCCTCTCTCTCCCCCCCTCTCTCCCTCCCCCCCTCCCCCCCTCTCTCTTCTCTCTCTTTTTTCTCTCTTCTCTCTTCTCTCTCTCTCTCTCTCTCTCTCTCTTTCTCTCTCGTCTATCATTTGATTTCTATAGCTACCCACCTCAACAAATAACTACGGTATATATAGGACATTATCTTTTCACCTTTTTTCTTCTTTCTAATTACAAAATCTAAGATAAGTCAGTTTAAATAAGTCAGTTTGTAATAATCCCCCAATTATTTGAAGGACCATCTTACCTCAGATTCCACAGAGTTTACCTTTTTAAGTTTATCTCTTAAAATATCTGACTAATGTAATTGGGATTTCATCTACAAATAATCATAAATATATGTTTATTTTCATATCAGCTTTATTAATATTATATCCCATTTTTGTAAGCAGCCCTGAAAAGGGTTTTATCTTAAAAGTTGCCCAGAAATATTTTTAATAATAATAGTCAAAATTTATACAATGTACCACAGTGGCAGATCTGTAGGCTTAAATCCAACCTACCTGAATTATTCTTAAAAGGAAGTACAAGAGAGTAAGCTGTGGTCAATATTCTCTTTAGCTTTATTCAAATACCAATTATTAGCTTTATTCAAATATTAAATTATTAGCTTTATTCAAATATTAAATTATTAGCTTTATTCAAATATTAAATTATTAGCTTTATTCAAATGTCTTAATATTACATACATTTTTGTTGTAGACCAGGGTTTAACAAAATGGGTTTAGCTCTCATGTAGTTTGAGATGATAGTAATCATGTACCTAAGTTTTTAGGCCAATTACAAGATGTTCTTTCTTTAGGAATTCAAGAGGGTCGAATTTGATGCTTGCATAGTTGAGTCCTCTGTCAGTGCTTTGGAGTGGGCATGCCGAATGCTTCCTTTTGCTAGATTCATGAACATTGAAGAACTTGTGCAGGATATCATTCTGAGCCTTATTGGAGAATTACCACCAATTAAAAAGGTATGCAGGATTGAGGAATTTAGCTTTTTATATATACAGGTAATCCTAATCTATTTAACAACCATTGGAAGTTAAAACAACCTTGGAAGGAATACTTTATGGCTCGTAAAACACTTCTGACCATTGTAAAACTTTGTGCCAACACACACACACCTCTCCCCCATCACCTGACCACATTTCAGATGCTTGGCTACAGGCTCACATTTACAATCAATTTCCAAGTGACCCGCAGCTATGGGATCCCCATTTGCAATTTTCTCTGCCAGCTTCCCCAGTAAGTCAATGGGGAAGCCTTCAAGAAAAATTGCAAGTAGCGGGGATGGAGGGGAGCTGCAATCCTTTGTGGAACTACAGGAAAGCTGCTGAAATTTTCAGGATTTCATCTCTTTTGGGATGCATGGAAACCTTCGCAGAAATGTTTGAGAGCAACAGGGCTGCTTGCCACATGGAACTGAAATCCTTCAGCAGGCAGCTCTTTTGCTTATCAATACTGGAGGTTGCAGCCAGGATTATGGTTGTTGAATGAAGTAGTTACATGGACATGTTGCTTAACGACTGCTTCAACAACAACAGTGATTTGTGTCCCAGTGTGTTTGTAAGTTGTGAACTATCTGTGAACCTTTGAATGTTTATTTTTACCAGTATGCAACTGATTTTTGGAAACTTTATCCAATATCTGGAAGCAATTGAAATTATTTTCATGCTGGTTTGTTTTGTACAGGTGGCTGAAATTTTGGTAAAAGCATTTCCTAGCTCTGAAGATGTGAGGGTCTCATTAAGGGATAAATATAATGATCTACACCAACGACTTAGGCACTGCACAGTTAAAGGTACAGTGTATGACAAAGACAAACATAATGAAAGCAAAGCTGTATTTTTTCTTTAAAAGAACATTCCTTGAAAAATGAAAATATAAATTATGAATATAAAATGTGAATTACAGTTTAAGTAATGTGAACAATAATATCTAGAGTTCTTTTCAAAGGAAAACTAATATAAATGACTCTAGATTATTGGTCAAAGGAAATGTTATATACTGAATAGACCCAGAATAGTATGATCGACCCACGGCATATACAATGTAAATTATCTGAAACCTCAGTTAAAATGATTAGTTCATGTGATCCACTTTAGAAATAATACCATATTTTCTGTCTTTATGGTTAGGCCCCAGTAGTGAAGAAATTATGTCGGTTGTACTACAGGCTACTTACAAAGTGAATGTGAAAACCCTGAAACGTGTGATAAGGAACATAGGGCCCATTCAAACAAATATCTGGGAGCCACCGGAAGAAGAGATACAAGACTCCAGAAGTACCTGCTATGATCAGTTTTCTTTGGGGACTACTCTAAGCAGAAGCACAATTTCAGATTTCAGAAACTTTCAGGGGTGCAACAATGCTGAATCAGCAGACTCACTTTCTGAGTTTGGGGTGACAAAAGCAGCAAGAAAGCTGAGGCAAGAAGATCCCAAGTAAGTGTTCATAAAGTTTTGTCTTGAATCAGAGAAAATATTGTTTTGTATAATATCTTATCTAAACTGTGTGAAATTGTGCACATCGGCTTTTCATGAAGTTCCATGTGGCTTACTTTATGTCAGTCTGCATAGGATTGCAACCTAAAAGCCTCATGTCCTTGTTCTACTGCTCTTATGCTGGGGATCATATAGTAAGGTGTGAGCAAAGCAGTGTTGGACTGACACAATTCACCCAAGAAAATCCTTAACGCAGAAGAACACAGTAAGGATGAGATTGTGATAAAAAGAATCTTTAACACATTTTTTCAGTACGTTAATATGTTTCATAAAATGTAGTATATGATTGACATTATGCCATGAAGGCTTATTTTACTCTTAGCTACTTTGTAATACTAGTTTCTTTCCTGGATTTAAAGCACCTTTCTTGCCTTTATGGATATATAGAAGTTGCTGTAGAGGGGGAAAAATGCTTTTTATATGTTATTTTTAATCTGTTTTGTAGGGCTATACCCTCGTGTATAGATGTTTCCAACCATAAAGAGTGGACTGAAAAGTTAAAGGACTGCAGTGGGGAAGGAGATCTTAAAAAAGGGACCCATAAAGACCTTACCAATCAACTCCATATGCCTTTAGTCGGCGAATGGGAATTTGAACGTGATGATGATGAATATATTAAGTTTTTAGACCTCTTCCTAACTTATGTGCTTGAAAGAGATCCACTCAATCACAGCGAATCTGCTGTTCCTTTTCTGACATGCTTTTCAGCCCTCCTTAGAGAACATGAGCTCCATTCTCTTCTTTTTGATGTGCACACAACACTGATACGTCGACAGGTCAGAGCTGAAGTCCAAAATGTATTTAGAGCTGGTTCTTGCTACACCCTTGGTTTTGGATTTAATGATTCTAAACTAGCTCCTGTATGGGGTAAAAAGAAAAAAGATTGTGAAAAAGACACTTTAGCTGATGAGCAACCCTTAGAGCTTTCAGACTGTGATTCAGTCATGAGACTTACTGAAAGAAGGGGTTTATTTGGCCAAAGCCAGCAATCAGTCAGTGACTCACATGATTCCAGTAAGACCTTAACATTCACACCAGCGTTAGCTCAATGTTGGTCTACCCCTAAAACACCTCTCTTTCAAAAATACATCTGCAAAACTGGACAAGTGAATGATGTCACACAACAAGACGAACCAGTCCCAGAAATACATCTTAAATTTAACAATATATCTCGTCTACTGGAATGGATGATCAGATGGTCCAGTAAAAGAATGGTTCAAGATCCCATTACAACAGGGACGTTTCAGGAATGCCAATCAATGATGCATGTGAAAATATCTTCATCTGCCATTCTTTCATCATTGTGGATTTTAGAGCGACATTTTGGCAACAAATTTCAAGACCAAAATTACGGTTTGGTAAGCAACCAAAAATATTTTGAACATTCTTATTTTACTGTCATGGAATTATATTAAAAATCAAACGTGGTATAAAACATTATATGAAAGTTTTGCTTTACCAGAGATACGTACTAATTCAAAATATTTGTAGCAATCATTTTGTGTTTTCTTGCTGATTAATTAGCACACTGTCAGGGAGGGCATGATTTTAGAATGTTAAGTAATGAACCACCCTATAGAGCAGTCACTAAGCAGCATCAAACATTCCATAGCCATGGACATTCCTTGTAATGTGGTACATTTAGAAGGTAGCAGAAACTTATGTGAAAAATACTAAGGAATGGTATTTATCTCATGAAATCTTGGCCTATAACTTTTTTAGCAGAAACATAATTAAAACCAAATGGAGCCTTTGGATAACTAATAAGGGACAATTTTTGTGAAGGGAAAATTTAAAATTTGATATATAATTTTTCAGAACACTTATATTATAACATTGTAATTTGTACTAAAGGCTATTTATAGGTTGGCATATTCTTCAACTAGATTTACATTCTGATCCAAATCTGAAAATATATAGCCTCTACAGATGAGGATTTTCTTAGGCAGATAGGTTTCTTGTGGTGCAATAACAACTATTGAAAAGATGCACAACAGGAGTGTAAAGGAAAACTATGAATACACATCATTTTTTTAAATTAAAAATTATACATGGGGTTGTTGTTTTAGAAACCACAGAAACCATGTGAAAAAACTTCCACTATCATACCCAAATTGGAGAAAGATGATGCTGAAGATACAAATAGTTCTTCATCGGAAGGAGCTCCAGCTGAAATCCAAAATGGACATGTATATGGTGAACCATTTAAAAATATTCCAAGGTAAGAATTCAGCATTCAGTTTGATGTAAGGGCATAGGCTATAAAGGGAGTAAAAAATGTGCTGTATAAAAGGACTGAAAGTTACTATCAAAAATCTTATATATATATTTTTAATGTAACTCTTAAAGGTGCAGAACATTACCTGAAAAGCAAATTAGGAAGAAAGTAAGTTATAGGAGTCGTTCTATAGTACCTGATATAGACACTGGAAGTACAGCTGTTGATATCAGTCTGGCAGAAAAAGTGGCAGAGTTTCTACGAAATGAAATAGTTGGACCATCTGAAACTGAAGGTTGGTTAAAAGAAAAATGTTTTTTTTCCTCCATATGAAGTCATTTATGTGAAATAAAAGAGATTTTTGCTTGGGAAGTGTAATATTTACTCCCTCTAGTATTACTGGAACACTATGAAACCCTACAGGATTCCTCCCCCCCCCCCATTTGTTCTCTCATATTTAGTTAGAATTCTTTATTGTCTGTGATTGGACACACAAGGAATTTGTCCCCAGTGCATACGTTTTCACTTTACATACAGCCAACAAGTGATAAATCATGATCATAATCATAAAATACAGTTATCATAAATCATAAGATACAACAGTCAGTGATAGTCATAGGAAACTAAATAAGCAATCAACATAAATCATAATAGGGTACTAAAGAAAAGTTATAGATATAATTTAAATGTAGTTAAAATGAAGCAAAGGAATCTGACCCAGACCCTAGATCCATAAAGGCAAGGAAGAGGTAGGACGAAGTAGAGATAACCTTCCACAAACAGAGAAGTTATAACATATAACAGGAATTTCTCTCTGCCCTCACATCCCACTTTGAGAAAAGTTCTTTTACTTCACTTTGAGGCCCATATTATTCACAAAATAGAAAGGTGTTTTGGATAAAGGAGAATATTTGTAGCTTGGGATTGAAATGAGGTGTCCTTGGTGCTCTCTGAGCTTGGTTTTTTTCTTGCAGATGTTTCATAACCCAAACTAGGCAACAATCACGTGGAAGTAAACAGCCAAGCTCAGACAGCACCAAGGATCATTAAGAATGGTGTTTTAAGATTTCCCTTATTGCCAGATTCTAATTTAGAAGCAAAACAGATGCATCACTAAACAGTAATGGTCATTCTATGTTTGAAGAATTCCCAAGGGAATTAAAATATGTGTTTGTAAAGTAAAGGAAAAATAAATATTAGGATGCCCTTGCTGATCAGAAAATGGAATCCAATAGTGTGTTGATGAGAGCTGAATGCAGAGAGGTTTTAATAGGTTAAGAAATGCAGATAGTAATAAAGCCTAAAATTACTCTGATGACTGGCTTCCCAGAGCAGGATACTTGTTAACAGACGAAAATGTAAGGTCATTAATGTAAAGATGATTAGGGGATTAAAAATAAAAACAAAACAGAAGCAAAAACAAAAACTGAATTGAGTGGAACTTGTGTGAATCTACCAATCACTTCAAAACAGAGGACAGCTTGAGGAGTCAGCAGTTTATCAGTTGAAAGCAACAAACAAAAAAAATGAACTTTTTGAGGTCCCTGTAACTTAAAATATTATGAGGGTGTGGAATTATGTAGGATGATTTTTCTTTTCAATTTTCTGCTGGATAGCCACCAATACACAAGCTTGAGGCAGACTGTCTTCTGACACTTTATGACATAGATGTATTTTGCAATGTTTGGATCTGAGGCAGATAAGGATCTTCTGAAAGAAGTCACAGATTCTCCTGTAGCATTTGAGTTACCTCAAACACCATTTTTAAAGTCTTCATGGTATCTGTATAAATCTAGGAAAAGGCATAGTTTCTTTAAGTACCTGCTGCCAGCTACAGTTTATCCCAAATAAAGGGATGAGTGGATGTATGCTGAAGAGAAATTAATCAGAAAGTTTGCATTTCTATTCTGGAAAATTCTCATTCTGGAAACCTGAACAATTTTACAAAGATATAAGAATACTACTTTAGGTGAGGAAAATAAATTCAGCCTTTTTTAAAGAGGTTCAGTGCATCAGAATTTAAGAGCCATTTAGAAACAAATACTGTTAATACTGTTTATTGTCTCTCATATAAACACGAGAATTAATGAAAAGGATAGTTAGTAAAAAGAAAGAGAAAGATATGGTAAAAAAATACAGGGTTCTCTTTATTAAATTGTTTTTTTTAATGTGCTTGTTTTGAAGTCTTTAATGAAGATCCAATTTCAAGAAATCCAACGATCTCTGTCAGTATTAAATCAGTAGAAAAGAAAAAAGAGGTAAGTGGTTCTCAAAATAAGTGTATTTTCTTGCAATTCAGTTTATAAAACCTATGTTTTATATATCACATATAACATTATCGGCAGATATGCTAGAACAGTGGTTCTCAATCTGTGGTCCGCAGACCCCTGGAGGGACCACAGTGTTGTTACGGGGGTCTACAAAGACCTAAAGAAATGTTACAATTTAAATCTTGAGTTCAGTCCTAGGGGGTCCATAGCCATGGTCTGTGGCCACAAAAGGTATTTAAAGGCGGTCCATGGTGAAGAAAAGGTTGAGAACCATTATAAGAATAGCACTTAGACTTATATACCAATTTACAGTGCTTTACAGCCCTCTCTAAGCGGTTTACAGAGTCAGCCTCTTGCCCCCTACAATTTCGGTCCTCATTTTACCCACCTCGGAAGGATGGAAGGCTGAGTCAACCTTGAGCCTGGTGAGTTTTGAACTATCAAATTGCAGGCAGCGAGCAGGCAGCAGAAGTAACCTGCAGTACTGTGCTCTAACCACTGCGCCACCATTATGCTAGAATATGTCACTCCAGAGGCTTTCAGCATTGTTTAATTTGGCTTTCGTAGAATCATGACTTGTTACTTCAAAATCAAATTCATTCATACAATTCTTGGTCTAGATTTCATGTATAATAATCAAGAGAAACATATATCCTATATTTAATTATTTATGCTTTCCGTGATAGTATAAAAAGCATAAAATCTGAATAAAAAGAAATTCAGATTAATGGTGAGTGATAGTTTATAGATTGACAATGAAGTATTATGAACATTTATTTGATTTGGGAATAAAAGACCTACAGTTTTTTGCTTGAAATGTTAGTCCAAAAATTTTTTCATCACAATAGTGAGCTGTCGTGTTCCTCATTCCTTATCAAAATTTAAAATAGATAACAGTTTTCTGCTTCAGTTTTAGTTCTCAAACAATGTTTATTTGATTTCATGACTTTATATTCTGAGGCTCTTCAGAAATTACTCTGAAAAAAGCTACTGGTTTTCACTGAATTTTAATTTTTAGGTAGGATACACAAACTGTTTTAAACTAAGGAAACAATTTTTGAGTAGTTGGTTTTTAGGACTAGAATTATCAAAAACATAACTTACGTATTCAGTAAATTACAATTAGTTAAGCTGATAATATGATTACTTTCTCTGCATTTAGTAATTGTTCTCTGAGGGACTCAGGATGGTAGACCAAGTATCTGGCCTGTAGAGTTTTATTGAATAAAATATAGTAATAGATTAGAAACTAACATTTGCAGATATTTTACTTCTGGTCCCTGCTCCATTTTTTCTTAAGTTCTATTTTTTTTTAATTTAGCCCTTATGTAACAGACTGAAAGTGGCCCTTAGTTTTCCCTCCCCCCATCCAAGGTACTCAAGCTATTTTTTTTCAGTTTTGTTAGGTATTAAATCTGTAAAATGACACTGCAAACTACACATTTTAGAAGATACTCATAACCATATTGTATTTTACAATTTATATAATATAATAACCTTGGCTGTATGTCATCGTCACAGGTTAATCATTTAAGAAATTCCAACAATTGGCTGATGATCTAAGTATTAATGGAATAAATAAATAGTAAATTTTAATCATTTTAAAGTAGTGAAATGATAACATGTTAACATATGCTTAAATACTCCTTAAATCACAGCACCTCTCTGAATTAAAAGTAGAATGTCAACAGAATGAACCTTTAATGGAAACATCTGAGGGAAAATGTACAAAATTGGATGGGTGAGAGAAATTAATACTCTGTATATTTATTGGTCTCCATGTTTCATTCTTCGCTTTATTTTTAATTGTTGATTATTATAAGTATGTATAAGAATTTAACCAGCAGGTTATATTATGTCTTAGCTTTGTTCTACATCCAGCAGTAGGAAGCCCTGATCTATACCCACATATTATCTGCTGATATTTGCGGGTTCCCTAAAAAATAATAGTATATAATTTTGATAGCCAAGAGTGCTTTACAGTGAAGTACTTCCGGATTGACATCTTTATTTTCCTGAATCTTCTGGACCCCACATGAATGTAGAAGTAATTCAGGAAGTAAAGATGACTGAAATCTTGCTTTTTACTTTGAAGTGCTCTTAGCTGCTTAGAAAATAAAGAGGTCAGAACAATTATTCTTCCATCTTTGGATTCTGTCCTTTTGTACCTACAGTGTAACATTTATTGACGAGAGCTGTGAATTTTAATATACTATTAAAATGCAATATATTTACATATTAACATAGTATTGATAATATTAATATTCAATATAGTCAAACATATTCAAAAAATGATTCATTGCTCTTTGTTAATTTTATCCTCTTTAAGTTGTTTTTCCATAGCTAATGAAGTTTTTGTAAATGATTTAAATGAATAATTTGTCCTTTGAAAGAAAAGTATATAGGAACTCCCTTTAGAAGTTAACTTTTGTTCACTGAATAGTACTGATTTCCTTTTCTTTTTTTCTTTCTTGAGCAGTTACCTTTTATTATTTCAGCTTAGCATTCGTGTCACTTAGATGTTGATGTTTTGTTGATTTAGTTACTACTGGTTACAGAGACCAGATGTAAACAGTCTAAAGTTGTGCACAGGGTAACAATGTTTGTTTAAAAACAGAGTTTAAAAAAAGCTTACTGCTGTGATAAAGAATGAATAGTAAGTAATACATTTGAAACTTTTAATTAAAATAGTTTAGTTAAAATTCATTCGCATGCATTCAAATTGAGATTCATCATATGTTAAAGATATTACATATTGTTCTCTTTCTATCTCCAGTATTACAGGTGAAGTAGATCCCAGTGATTTCCCCCTTTCATTTTGTTCTGAAAAGCGGGCAGAAACAACTAGGTAAATGTTACTAAATTATTTTCTAAAATTTATGAAATTCTGTCCCTAACCCATCTTTTAATTTCTAGCATTTTACTATTAGTTTAAAAATTTAAAAATCACTATTTCTGAAATTTAATCCATTGTCATTAGTTCACAGTTGCTTATCCTTAGATTTATTTCTGAACTGTCTTGGAAGAACTGGGCAGTCCCAGGAAGACTGGGAGGTAATTTAAATACATGGGAGCGGTGTTGATACTTAATTCCTATTCTTAATGTTTGAATAATAATAATCCCAGACGGAGGAATTTTAAATTGATAGAGTAATTGCTAATTATTGTAATCTCCCTGGAATTGTGGCTGAAGAGGAGAGACTATTTATGAAAGAGTAACTGGAATGTGTATAACTACTTAAAAGAATGTCACTATCACTTTGGAGAGGAGGGGAAAAAAACCTAAATAAGGAGAAATATAAACAAGAAGGAGATATTAGATGTAATGGAACTTTATTGTCTCATGTTCCTCTTGTAATTTTATATCTGGGTTTACCAGTATGCAGCTTCCACAGTTGGACTTTCAAAGCAAACAGACTTTCATATCTTTTGTTATTTAGGGATTGCTCACAATAGCTTTTCAGATAGTCAGATATTCATACGATCCTCTCTAAGTAGTCACTTCCTAAGCAGGAACTATTTATTTTATACTCTTCAACCATTAACAAATTACAATATATCCTAAATGTACAATTTTCCTTGGAGTGGTTTGTCCCCGCTATTTCAGACTCTCTGTGCATCTCTACAGAACTAGATATTTAAGAAAAAAAAGTTTAGACTCCTGGTTTCTCTATCACAGCTGATTTCCCTTTTTATCTCTGCAGTGTAGACATCACTGTTTCAGATGACCAGCCTTCTTTCACAGAGGTGTCAGACATTCCTTCAAATGACACTGGTGTAAAAACAGAGGTGATTGATAGAGAAATGACAGCACAACCACCGAACACTTCAGAGGTTGTTGGGCAAATGCTACAAGATGAAATGTTTAAGCTGATTCAGGTGAAAATATAACATTATGAAAAATATAAGCATATGCCTTAGAACAGAGTTCCCCAACCTTTCTGTGTTGTGGCCTGGAGTGGGGGAAAGGGGATCGTTTTGAGGGAGGGGCAGGCTCATGCACACATGGGTGTGCAAACACCCATTGCTCATGTGAGTGGGCCCACAAACACCTGCAACAACACTCACATGAGTGTGGTCATGAGTGCCCACACAAGTGGAGCTGTGCGTGCACACATGCACGCACACTGTCCAGCTATTCAGGCGTCCTGGTGGCCAAGCCACAGGTTGGAGGCCCCTGCCATAGAATATATTAAATTCATATTTTTTCCGTTTGAAATATTTTCAGCTTGAACTGAACTGTTAAACTCTCACCAAAAGTGTTCCATGGTCATTCCCATCTTATTAGAAATTTTTCAAGTCCAGAAAAGCCTGTTTGAGTTCAGAATGCTTCCAGTAAGTTTAAAATAGCCAACTGCATTAGAAATATATTGACCAATACAGCTCTACTCCTCTATTATTATTCCTCAAAAGTTGGCAAGATAATGGCAGACTAATTTGGTAATGCTTCAAGAATAGTACCATGCTGCTAGTTGAGTTTGAAGCCAGAGTTTCTTTATTCTTCAAACAATCTGTTGACTGCGTAGAGATTAGAGGTATAGCTGCAAGTAAGAATATTTGGAACAATCCTATTTACCCGTGTGTGTATTAGATGTACAACTGGAAGTGTGACAAAGTCTGAATAGTGGAAATGTTTTTAAGGAAGAATAAAATACAATGAAAATTCTACAAACACACTACCCATACTTCAAATATTAGCTAAAACTATGCCTAATGTGGCTATGCAGTAACATACGTGGTATTATTTGGCTCCTAATTTTACTGTCCTTAAAATTATCTCATATTCTTAAATTACTGGTCATTTTTCCATTCTTCAGGTGATAACAATGTGGTTATCAAAGAAGGATAATATTTAGGATTTTACCTGTTTCAGTATGATAACTGCATAGTTGCAAATATGTTCAGTAATAGATTTTAGCTAAGACACATTTTTAGTAAATGTATTCATTTCTTATATTCTAGCTGCAGCAGATTAACTATTTGAGTCTCATGCAAATAGTTGGATTTGCCAACTTGCCGAATACATCACAGCAGATGCAGCAACCTCAACCTTTTCCATTAGGAAGAAACTGGGCTTCAAGCACTGAAGCAAATAATATCCATCAATCTCCCCCCATGCAGCCAGCAGGTGATGTTCAAAAACCTACCGACCATCAAATACCAACTTTGGAAAACAGTTGGAATGTTGGTAAGAAAAATAACAGTTCTCCCGAAGAAAAAAACTTACCTGATCAGAACCAGGATGGAAATAACACGGTGAGTTGCTGAGATTTTTTAAGTTTTAAAGCTCATATCCCATGTTTTTGTTGAATATCATCATCAAGCAGTACTACAATTAAAAAAAAACCCTTACATTGTTATCTTTTGCCTTATTTAGAAATTTGTGCACATGAATGATTCTTCAGCATTACGAGAGAGTCAGTCTGTTGGTGCAAGATTGATGCTACAACTTCAAAGCTCACCTCATCAGAATCCAGCCAGGCCATTCCCTCTGTTATCTGTTTCCCTAAATGCTGAGAAGAAGCCAAAGCTTATTCCATTGGCAAAACCCTTAAATAATACCGAGGGATTTCCTTTGCTTAAGCTAAAAACAAGTTATCAATTCCAGGCACTCAATTTCTGCCCAGTAATTCCCCACAGATCTTCTGGACTATCGTCAGGACCGAGAGAAGCCTGGGGTCCCCCACCTTCTCTGGCACAAAATCCTCCCGGTTTACAGACATCAGAACCCAGAAATGAGACAGGAGCACATCTAAACTTGAACCGTTCTGTTCAAAATATTACAATCCAGGTACAAGAGCAGACAAAGCATTGGGCTGAACCAGTCAAGACAGGGATTTCGAAACAGTTTCCTGTAGATAAATATGGAAAAAAGGAAGATTCAGCACCGTCACAACCCTTCCATGAACATCTAAGGCCAGAAAAACCATTGGTTGACAGCGAAATCAATTCACATCAAGCCTATGGGCATTTTACTGAAATTCCTTTGCTATATCTGAAGACCAGGTCACCATCCAAATGTTCACCAAGTAAATTTACAACAAAAGATACAGATTGCAGAGGATCCCTTGGACAGACAGGATTCCCATTGCTTTATTCTAATTTACCTCCACTAACCAAGGTAATGGTTTTATAAAATATGTGTATTGTTTTAATGCAGATGTCATAACAGCCTTTTCATTTAAGTTCATAAATGAAGTATTTCTCAGCTTGATTTGCTCTCCAAAAATGGAAAGGGAAACTTGAATTGATTATGGTCTCTTTTGTTTGATGAACAGTTTCAGATACCGAAACTCATTCCCCTTCAAGATCTGATTGCATTTGAACAAAGCCAGCATTTTGTTCAGTACCCCCAGCATAAAGAGAATTCCAGGCAGATGCAGTTATTGAAAGCTAATATTAAGCTAAATGAAACAAGACAAGTGAGGAGTAATAAGAAAAGGTAAAAACCAAACCTTAAACCTAAAATCCGATTGCAGTTGCATTAGTTCTTGCACTAAAGAGAGAACTTTTCTTATAAAGTGATAAATACTTTAAATTAAGTGCAATTTCTCCAGACGTTAAGAAAATATTGATTACTTTTCTGTGTGACCCGATTGTTGATACAGCTAGTTCTATTCTTGTATTGTCTCACCAGCTTATTAGATATCTAGCACCATCTTCCTGAATCTATCAGTCTAAGCAAAGCCATCATTCTGCTTTGGAGGCCTTATGCCAGATGAATAGGACTGAGTCTGGAGCATTCTGGGAATTTTTCAAACAACCTATTTCTCTATTATTATCACACTAGACAGAAGAGACGTATTAAAAATCGGCTCAAGGAGAAGGACGAAAAAATGAAAGCCATTGTGACTAATCAACAAGATGATTCTTCTCTTCTTCCTGATGCTGTAAAGCCAACAGAGGCAAGCAATAAGAAAATGTTAATTGATAATTATCTTCATTATATTGTTTGGTTTTAAAGTAAAATATAGGAAAAATAATAGGGTAAAATATAGTAAATATCATCTAGAACTGGCCTAAGTGATATAGTAGTCCACTTTTTTGACATTCATTCATTTTCAAACTGGAACTTTATTAGTGTTTGCTAATGTTCCAGGAACAAAAACTCATTGTCTGCAAAGACAAATTTAATATGATCAATACATAATAGTTCTATGAGTTAACTTTCTGTCATTCTTATTTAATTTAAGAAAGAAGCATCAAATATATCTTGTTAGAATGTAGAAGACTTTCCAAATTGAGAAAACTTTTTTAGCAAGCAGTATTTACATTTGAACATCACAGCTTCATGTATTCCCTTTGTATGGTTTTTGAGTGATGATGCGACTCACAGAAGCAGATTAAATGTGATGGAATGATATGCTATAGAAAATGGTAACTAGGTAATTCATTAATTGAAAAGCATGCAAGTAGTCCTCAGTTAACAGTCACTCATTCGGTAGTTGTTTCAAGTTAACAATAACACTAAATGAGGGGAGGTTATATGACCGATCCTTGAAGTTCAGCCATCCTAGCATCCCTGTGGCCACATGATTGTGATTTAAGTGTTTGGCAAGTGGTTCACATTTATGATTGCAGCATGTTGCAATCAAGCTATCAGAATTTGTGATTCTCCATGATAGTTTCCCCCTAATAAAGTCAATGGGGAAATCAGCAAAGAAAGTTTGAAGTTGCTTGGGTACGTCTTTCCCACCCACATATTCTTCCTGAACTTCCCTAGTTCAGCACCTCTTCTTATTAATTGTTTCAGATTTGAAGGGGTGTGGTGTGTGTGTTTGTATTTTAAATTTTGTGTTTTACTGGTATGTCTGTATCTTAAATCCCGGATTTGATTTATTGGTCTGGGACTGTAATCAAGTCTTGTTTAATCTTCTTGTTCCCCAGCAATATATACTGAAAAATTCTATTAGTATCCTGAAGTATATTACTAACATTAAATCACTTGTGTACATTTAATCATACTTGTTCTTGCTTCAGGAATCCCAAGCTGAATTAAGTGCTGGTCCGTGTGATGCTAATTCATTACTAAGTAAGTTTTTTCAGCAAAATTGTCTTGAAAGATTGAATGTTCTTTCCAGGATGTCACAGTTTTATATTTCTCTTGAATGGGAATGGTTACCTATATAGACTGGGGATGGAATTTCTCACTGGCTGCCCTTAATCTTTGCTCAAATGATTCATGGAAAACTTTCAGAAATCTGTCTTGACCTCTGTATTTAAGGTATTTTTACTGATAGTGTAATTACTGGTAAGAGATGCATTTTCAAACAGGTTCTGGCTTAGAGTTCTACATTTCAATTGTGCTTATAAATTCTACCAATTTCCCCTTAAAGTATGCTAATTACAAGAGCATTGTGGTCACTGGAAGAAGGAACAGAGTAATTGTTTGTTGTTTATGCATGTATTGAATTTATATCCCATTTTTTGTTCATGCATCACCCTAATGCAGACTATAAAACATAAAAATAAATGCAGTACATTGTAATTTAAATCATAGGTTAAATTAAAAATCATCATCATTAGAGTAAGTTCTGTTAATAATTATAAAGCTTGCATCTTCATGAACATGAGGAGTGAAGGCCAACTCTCTTTGTTGATGGGAAGGAAAAATCCTTCCTGTGCTTCTTCAACAAGGAAAAGCAATTCTCTTCTCACCCTCAACTGAGTTGCTTGGACAGAGCAGAGAAATGCAGATTTATTTACTCTTGTAATGGGGATGCATAAAATGTCATCTTAAAATTGGCTGTAATTCCCAGATTTATTGCTATAGCTAAAGTAATTAAATTCCTTTCACAGGCAGTGGGTGGGAAGCTTTTGAGTGATTTAATAGAACATAAATAGAGCCAAGCTTAGGAGGAATTAGCATTTGACAGTAAAGCTTTATCACCTCATGTCTCTTTTTTAATCCATCCCCTCTCTCAGCCTCTCAGCCCGCAAAATTGAGCTTTACTGACTTCAGTGTGCTCCAGAACAATGGTATGTCAGGAAGCGTCAGAAGGGTTGCTCTCAGATCCCATCCACTTGTTTTCAGCATTAGAAAATTAAGGGGGGGAAATGCAGGTGACAAACAAAATTGGTAGGCAGACCTGTAGAGGAAAGAAATTAAACATGGGTACTGTTCTGCTCATATTCTTCATAACTCCCCCCTTGAGCAGATAATTAGATTTTGTCCGCTTTCAGGCAAATGACTGAAGTGACACAATTAACAATAGCTTATGAAATAGTACTTTTGTTCTTGAATTGGATAATAATGTGATCTTCTATTATTTTAGAATCGGATACGTATATTTCTTCAGCAGCGCTACATTACCTGGCTTCTGTAGGAAAAAAGACTGCAGAACTTCAGGACGCTAGCACAAATACAGCAGATCTGCAGAATGCTAGCACAAATACAGACCCCGGTAAAACTCTTGCAAGAAATTATTGTGACTGGTTTCGTAAAGCTTTGAAAATGAAATGGTTTCCCACTGACATAATTTGCATTCTCTAAGAACACAAATGTATGTCCCATTTTCTCAAATAATGTTAAATGGTAGATTGCAAAGTAACAGTTGTATAAGATAAATGCTCATCCAAATGCTGTCATTTCTGCATTTCAAATTTGTTCTGCTCTGCAAAATTATCTAACCTTTCACTCCTGAATTAATGCCTTTATAATAATCAAGCAAGATACATTCTCCTCTTGATTCATCTTGATCTTATGTTTTTCTCATGGGAATAAAGTTCTGAAATCATCTCAGAATATACAAACTGTATCAGAAGAATTAATTGATGAATCTGTTGGGAATCAATCAGTCACTTCTGCATCTGTAACAGGTGTGTTTTCTTTCAAGTTATTTTTGAAGAAGCACAAAATTCTGTGTTTCAGAAAATAAACAAATATTATCATGGTGGGATCCAGAGTTTCAAGACCTGAGTTATGAGCTTTTGCTGACATAAAGGAGAAAAAAAACATTTTTATTGAGTTTTATTCTCCCATTGTTATTTTCTTCTTCGCAAAACTGTCCCCAGGGGAAAATTGAAGAGGGGCTGAAGGAAACCTTATAGGAATTATAAGAAACATGGAACCATATAATTAAATAAAGCCAAAAATGACCAGATCTTCTGAGAGTTCAGAAATTTTGCCCTTGACAAAATTTAGAAATTTAGATTAGAATGCCAAAACTTCACAATATCATGTGAGATCTTGGCGTTGAGATTTTTCTTTTAACTGTTTATTTTGTGAAGTCTGCTGCCTGAGAAAATTCCCAACCTCTGTTTATGGGGAACTGATTGAAACAATCTTCCTGTCTTGGGGTAGCAGATATTTTTAAATAGCCATCAAAGGTAGATAGATTAAACATTCAAGAAACAAGCAACGGTAAATTGATTTTTTTCTGACTTTAAATTTATCCATAAGATACTCAACAATTCCTAGAAAATCTAATTATTCCCAGAAATATCTCTGGTATATGAAAAATGGAATGTTTTATCTGCTACAGTTTTCTGACTTTATATATGTTTTTCTCATCAATCAAGTTGAAAAAACACATCAGGATGTTATAACAGACTCAGAGCAAATAGTTGCTGAAACTAATAAAAATAAGCCAATCATTTCTCCTCCCGCTTCTGCTTCTGAAACAGGTGTGCTTTCTGCTTATCTATTCTGTGAAAATACATTACCAAATTTCACTGTCTTTAAATTTTAAAAAATTGAGGTTATGTACTAGTTTTATAATATTGTGCAAAGGAATATTTTATCCAAAGAATGAGGGGTGACGGTTTTTATTACTAATATCTAATGCTGTCATTGATTTATATGTTACTGTTCTCCTATCTGCATAACTTGTGATCGTTGTACAAAATACAGAGCTCTTAAATATTAATATTAAACATTAAACATGCTCTTAAATTTACATTTAATGACTTGGGCGTGCATATGAATACTAAGCATGCTTAGTATTGTTTGTTTTGTTCCTCCAGTTTAGAACTTAAAATACATGTTTAGAGTTTTCTTTCACTGTTAAGAGAAAATCGGAATACCTGCAGTTGTTATCTTGATTGGACTTTACCAAAGGTTAAGATCATGATGGACAACCTTTTGATAGTTGTAGTCATACCCAATCCCTTTTCTGAGGAGGGTAAAGGTCACCATGGATGAAGCAAGGAAGCAGCTACTCAAGGTTTTCTGGTATTTTTTTCATAAAGTGAGGCTCATTTGTTTTTAAATAAATTTAGCTTAAGGCTCACATCACACTTTTTTTTCTTGTGTGTATGTACCTTATTTTCCGACTTCTAAATGGTAATTAAAGCATGCCATCAACTTTAAGCAACAGTAAGATGCTTCAAGGGCCTTAACAAAAGAGTTTCAGAAAACACATGTGACCTTAGAAGTCAGCTTGCTTACCCTTCATCTGGGTGTTAAAAAAAATCTTGTTCCGCAATAACTTTTTTAGCATTTCAATATTCATCACAATGCTGTTTATCTTTCCAAGTAGTCTTTTCAACTCTCCAAGTTGCTCGGGTGACTTTTAACCATGTTCTTTCCTTCTGCAGAACTGTTGCCTTCTTGCATTCCTCAGACTTTGGCACCAGAGTTGTATTTCAACTTTGACAGCGCAACTACAGAGACACCTTTGCCATCTTCATCTGATTTGGTCAGTCAATGAGAAACATCTCCTGAAAATGCAGCCATATATCTAAACTATTCAGTAAATTGGTCAGTTACAGGAGGAGAGAGGTTCAGTTCTTCAGGGCAGTTTTATAAATATTTAATATAGGTTAAAATTGTTTGCTACCTACAGTTTGGTTTGTTTATATGTTTGTTTGTTTGTTTGTTTTAATATATGGTGTAGGCTGAACAGAGATATATCAGTGTGACCGATATAGAGGCTGGTGATCTTTTCAAGAATTTGCCAGTTGAATCTGAGCCCACTACACAGCCTATTGTCACACAACCTGTGAAGTCTGAATTCCCAGCTTCTACAAAGCTGTATTATCCAGCAGTCTCTGTTACTAGTGTATTACCACTGGATGAATTTGAGAGGCAAGGTAAACATCTACAATTTTTTACCATTTTGTACCATTTGCTTTCAAAATGTACTTAGGGGAATGGGGGTGGGGGTGGGGATCATGTAAAACATGGGTCTCCAAACCAGCCATGCTGTCTGGGGAATTCTGGAAGTTGAAGTCCACAAGTCTTACAGTTGCCAAGTTTGGAGACCCCCTGATGTAAAACCTCATACAGGAGTATAACATCTGTATCTCTCTATACTGAGAGCTTGATGGCACTCTGTGAGTAGGCTTTGAAATTTTGTAGATAAATAAAACTTTATTGTGACTTTTAATTAAAATGTCACTTGTTTCAGTGCCGTTGTAACTGAACAGTCACTAAATGAACTGTTGTAAGTTGAGAACTACCTGTAATTGGTTACGTTTGAAAATATTTTGCCCTTTTTGTCTTTGTTTGATTGAAAGAAAAGAGTCTCGAAATAGAACTGCCTGTACTACCACCAAGAATAACAGAAGAAGAAACTTCTGTTGATCATCTTACCTCAAGTCTCCTTTGTGAAGATTTTTCCAGTATTTACACAGGACAGTTGGGTCAAAAGATCAGTAAACAGCATTTTTCTGGAAAACTACAAGAAATGGATAGACAACTATCGTACCTACAAAATTTGGCAGAAAAAATGGAGAAAGAATATAGCACTACTAATTTGGTATATTTCACTTCATATTTTTATTTTAAACCTTTCTCCCCTTGGTAATAGGATTTATCTTTAAATAGATTGCAGTTATATGTACTTTCAACTGGAGGGAAAATCACATATCTTCGATATGATACAAGATTTCTGGTTGGTAGTGAGTTGCCTAGAAAATGTTGTGTGAAAGTTAGGGATGTATATGAATTTACTGTGACTGAAAAAAATACTTCACTGATCAATAATCAGTTTAATTTTAATGAAAAAAAATTAGATGCAAACCAATATATAAAGTGTAGAATTTAATTACTATTTTTATTGTGAGGACAGAGATACACAACACTAATAAACTGTAGTAAACTCAGTGTTAAAAGTATAGATATACTTTCTAATTTATAAAAGAAACTTCTGCAGATGTGAACAAAAATCAGCAAAGAAGAGAGGGGTTTTTTAATATTAGCAGCCACAGTTGTATTTTTTTCAATGTATTTGGGTTAATCTTAAGCTTGTGCATTAACTGAAATGGAAAAGAAATGCTCAGAAAAGAGCATATATTATAATATTCTTTATATCCAGATGTAGGTGAGAGGTGATAAATATCACGTATCTCTTTTTTACAGTTAGGAGAAACAGCAAAAGATGTCAGTCTGATACCTGAGGAAGAAGAAGATGACATATTGTTCTTTGCACCAGGTGTTCAGCTTTGCAAAGCAGGTGAGTTTACTAATGGAGGGTTGGGTTGAAGATACTATGGCTGTATGGCAATTAGATATAGAAGAGAATAGATGATTCAGAATATTGCTTTACATGATAGGAACACATAGAAGAGATTTAGTAGATATATAGGGAAGAAGAAAAGTCTGATCTTAGCAATAGCACTTAGACTTATATAACACTTCACAGTGCTTTCCAGCCCTCTCTAAGCAGTTTACAAAGTCAGCAGATTTCCCCCAACAATCTGGGTCCTCATTTTATCCACCTCGGAAGGATGGAAGGCTGAGTCAGCTTTAAGCCTAGTGGAATTTGAACTGCCAGATTGCAGGCAGGCAGCAGGCAGCAGAGTTAGCCTGTAGTACTGCATTCTAACCACTGAGCCATTGCGGCCTAGGTTGCAATGGGGATCAGAATTTCCATCACTAAGCAGCACAATCATGAATCACAATGTCATTTGACTGCATCACTTAGTAAAGGCAATTTGTGCAGTCCTGGTTGCCAACATAACCCAAGGATAACATGGGATCTTAAGTTCACATGATTGCAATTTATAATTTTCTAGAGGCTTCCCAATTGACTTTGCTTATAGAAACCAGCAGGGAATGTCAGAAATCACTGTCATGTGACTGTGGCTTGTTACAATCAAATAGTCCCCTTATTGTGAGCAAGTGATTGTAGGGATGTTGCAACAGATGGAACTCGAAGGACCAGTCATAACAACCATTTGTTCAGCACCATCATGCCTTTGAACGGTCGCTAAACAAATGATCATAATCCCAGAACAGATTTTAAAGATCAAAGCCAGAACTGGAACTGAACATGGGAATTTGCAATGGAAATTTATTAATTCTGGTTATAATGTTACTTCCAACTCCAACCAGCAGTCTTATAACCCTGTTTTGGACCACAAACATTTGGGAACCTACCAATGGAAGATAAGTGTGGCCAAGTTGCTTTCATCTTGAATGCCTGATTGACATAACAGCTGTGTCAACTCATAAAACATTCCTATGCCTGTTTTAGTAGTTGCCAAAAAAAGGGGGGAGGAAGAAAATCTGGAAGAGCAGTTGAAAGCGAAAGTACATTCCAACTCGTTATCTTTAAAAGATTGCAGCTAAAATACCAGAGTTTTTGCCCAAGAATGTGAATGATGATACCCAGCCCCTGAACGTGCTCAATTGGAGAATCTGGTTTATGAGACACCCAGGGGGGAGGGGGGAAACAGGGTCATAGGTGACTGTAAATTACAGAGTTGGCTTGCTGTCAGGATTCCAGCAATCGCTCTAATTAAATCATGATTCTCGAGCCAAATTTCAAAAAACTTCAAAGGATTCATTAGAGGCGCCATAGTGTATTTTGAAATTTGGCTCGAGAATCATGATTTAATTAGAGCGATTGCTGGAATCCTGACAAGCTGCGGTTGATAAGAGTCGCTATGCTGCTGAAATCTCTTGGATTTTTTTAAAATGATGCTATGGTATCAGTAAGCATTCCCTGAGTTTTAAAGCAATATCACTCCTTTACTGCCCATCAACGCACATGCCATAATAAATCTGCACTCAATTCTTGGTTGTACTTGCTGAAGAGGAACATAGCTTCTATCCTGAATGTTGCATAACTTTTTATATTGCATTCCTTTTAACTTTGGTTTCACTCTGTTCTTCTGTTAAACTAGAACGTTATTCAACTCGTGCAAGGGTGGAGAATTTTACAGAGGAAAAAGACTTCTTAGAAGAAGAATCTTCCCCAAAGGATTTCATCGCCTTAAAAACACCTTCTGTTTCACCTTCAGTATCTGCTGCAAATCACCCCAGGGTCAACAAGTTGTTTTCTGGTACTACTCTTTCTTGGCTTTGGTATTTTTTTGACAATTTTGTAAACATCTTTTTAGTTGTTTATAGAATATGTTGTTTGCTAGTACTGTGTCCATATTTTTACATTAAATTCAATCAGAATAGAGCTGGAAGTGATCTTTGAGCTTTTATAGCACCATTGCACCATAAGGAAGTCTCAGTCAGCATCCCATAACATGGTTTGACTTGAAAGGAAATACTATTTTGATGACTAATATTTTAATTAATTTTATTGATAAACCAGGCTAAAACTTAGTGATGATTTTTGTTTTTGTTTTTAACAGATATTAGTTTTAAAACGGAAGAACAAGATGAGAGGTATGTATGAGAAAATATTTCAGAAGCATTTACTGAAATGGGGAGTCATGTTGAAGGTCTTTCCTACCACTTCAGTATACCAGGTTTGAAAATAGATTCTATCCTCTACTTAGTGGCAGATTTCAAAATTATGGGAAGAAGTTATTTTATGTTGGTTATAGAGTACTTAAGTTTTTATTGAAGAGCCAAATTTGACTTAAAGGTTTTCCTTAGGATACAACCACTCATTTAGCAACCATACAAAGATTAGGATGGCACTGAATGAGGGGGTCCTGTAGTCAGTTGAAAGCATTTCCAGGGGTCATCGGATCATGATCTGAATGCTCAGTGCGCAACTCAGGATCATGGTATTGTAGCAAGCCATGGTCATGTCATAATTTTGTAACATTTTTCCAACTTTCCACAATCAAAAGCAATGGAGAAGCTGATGGATAATCAGAAATTACTCCCACCACTTTTTCATTCACCTGCACATTAGAGGCCTGCCAGAAGCAGCCCTTATACTTCTCCTGTCCAGTATGGCCTGCTGTCTCTCTCCCACTGCCGCTTCCCCAGCAAGGCCTAGAGAGTGGCAGAACAGGTTCTGCTGCCTTGCTGAGCTCACCGTATCCATCACAGGGCCGTGCTTTTGCCTATCCCCGGATTCCAGGTCAGCAGTGTAAGGAAGAAGGTGGCAGTGTCAGGTGGGGGTGGTGGGGTGCCAAGTAGGCCACAGTGACAGGCAGGGCAGCTGAAAAGACAGAGGAAATAGACATATGGGGGAGCTGAAGTCCACGCACTGGTTGTAGATACAGGCTGGTTGCCAAGAACCTGAATTCTGATCATGTGACTGATGGGGCGCTGTAACAACCATCGGTTCCGTGCCTTGCAAGTTAGAATGATAACTGAATGAATAGACATTAAGCAAGGATGATTTGCAATGTGAGAAAATGATTAAAATCCATCTTTTGCCTACACTTGTATGTTCATAGCATCTGTCCTTATATTTCAGCTATTGTTTTATGTGAAGGTTTAGAAGTGCTGTTATGTTATTTGATCTGTGTATTTTTAAAAGTAGCTTTCCAGTTGGCATCAATTTAATTAGTATTTTTCAATAGATGTTCAGAAGATCGCCTTCAAATCAGTGGCTTGAGTGATGTTTTGGACATCATTAATGATCTTATAGCGGAGAATGGTGTTTCTCCTTCAGAGCTGGGCCTTACAGAAATTCAAGCTCAAAAAATGGCCAGGTAGTGTTACATTGATACTTTTAATAACTTTGATCTATATACTGATGATGCTGTGTTGCAAATGTAAGGTTGTATGATGCATCCAGGAGTATAGACCTGATAAACAGTAGTTGTTTGGGGGTAAGGGCAAAATACAGGAAGTAGATGAATTTACTATCTGTAGTCATTTTTGTTATTTACACATTTTTTAAAAAATTTTATTTATTTACTTGATTTGTCAATCGCTTACAAGATAATAGGTATAAGTATAAACATAGTTATGAATACATGAAATGGATACATATAAGAAAAATAAAAGAAACAATAGGACAGGGACAGTAGGCACGATGGTGCGCTTATGCACGCCCCCTACAGACCTTTTAGGAAGGGGGTGAGGTCAATAGTGGATAGTTTAAGGTTAAAGTTTTTGGGGTTTGGGGAAGAAACCACAGAGTCAGATAGAGTATTCCAGACATTGACCACTCGGTTGCTGAAGTCGTATTTCCTGCAATCAAGTTTGGTGTGATAAACCTTGAGTTTGTATCTATTGTGTGCTCTTGCATTGTTATGGTTGAAGCTGAAGTATTCATTGACAGGTAGGACATTGCAATGTATGATTTTATATACTATACTTATATCGGACCGAAGGCGGCTCGGTTCTTGTTTTCTAGGTCTGGAATTTCGAGTCTGGTGGCATAAGGTATCCTGCAAGGAGCAGAGGAGTGGAGAACTCTTCCTGTGAAATATTTCTGGACTTTCTCAACTGTGCTAATTAACTTTGTTATTTCAGTCTTTCAAATATACCACGTAAGCAGACGTATACGGCTGAGAAGGATAAAAAAGAGTTACATGCTTGGATGAAAAGAAAACGAAAAGAAAGACTTGCCGAATATATGCAAACACTGTCTGAAAAACGGGCAAAAGAGCACAATCCGTTCCATCTGAGAAAGATGGTAAGGCTATTTGCATTGAATTGGTAAAGTACAGTAAAAGGAGAAATTTTATCAATATGAATCTCTGTTCTAAATTTGTATTTCTAAATCTGGATGGCCACCTCTTCAGAAAGATGGCATATCAATTATAAAATCAAGTGTGGGAAGAAATATGAATATGCATAATAATAACAATTCTAGAATATAAATCCCTTTTTAAAAAATTACAGTGTTCCACTGAAAATTTCTAGCCTCCAGCCACCATTTTTATTTATTTCTACATAATATGCCTGGATCTCATGTAGACTCAGATACTTCAAAGGAAAAAGATGGATGGAGACCGCAAGGCATAATTTTGTTATGCGATGCATCCAGCTGTCATAAACAAGCAAGCAAAAAGACCTGCATGGGACCTGTCTGGTTAGCTGGTTAAATAAGTAAAAGAAATCAAAAAATAGAAATAGTATAAAAAGCCATGGGAAGGGTGCCCTAGAGAGGGGAAAGTCATGGAAGGGTATTAAAAAAACCCAACCTGAGCTATGGGGACTGGGGGTGGGGAGACAGTGTAGCAGATATCCAGGAAAGTAGGAAGAAAGGAATCAGAGATGAAGCATAGATGGAAGATTGAAGGGCGTGTAACACTCCTATGTGTAGAGAAATGTTGATTCCACCATCTTTGATCACCTTCCTCACAGCAGTTAATTTTGGTGGCATCTGAGATATGGATATACCTTAAAAATCCAAACCGAACATACCACCCTCCAAAAAAGTGAAGAGTTCTCGTTCAGCCAGAGTATAATATTGCTACATTATTCCTCAAAGTTTAGTGAGAGGCAGCCCAAGTGCTACGGAGTCCAGCGCCCAAGTTAACCTTGTGCCCAGGCATTTCTTATAGTGGAGGTTGATGGCTCTTTTTGCTCAAGCAGAGAGGAAAGGGGATATTTCCCATGGATGTCTCCATTCTCAAAGGCCACAGTCTTCTAGCTCAGGGGTCTCCAACCTTGACAACTTTAAGACTTGTGGACTTCAACTCCCAGAATTCCTCAGCCAGCAAAACTGGCTGAGGAATTCTGGGAGTTGAAGTCCACAAGTCTTAAAGTTGCCAAGGTTGGAGACCCTGAATCTAGCTACTTCTGAGAAGAGGGGAACATCAATTTCTCCCCTTCCATTTGCCAAAGAAGAAACCATAAGTCACAAGAAACATTATCTTATGACTTGCAGTTTTAAAACCCTGGATTGTTCAAATTCATCCATCATCGGTAGAAACCTTAAGCAAGAGTCATTCAACATTTCTCTGGGTCTCAGTCTTTGACAGTATGATTCAGAGGGAATGGCTGCTGTCCAGGAAGAACAGGACGTGCCAGGAGACTTTAAACTTCTATAATCCTTATGATGATTTTATGATCCTTTAAAATCTCTGCAAGACCATGATGAAAAATTCTCCTGAATGAAACAATTATATTAAACAGCTGGAAATTGTCATCTCTAAGGACAAAGGAAACTTTAAAAAAATAATATTGATGGATAAAAAGTGAGCTTTTCTTTAAGAGTCAAATATTTATTTCAATTATAGTCCAACATAAAAGCACAATCAAGAAAAATTACATCCATTTCTATAATACTTTCACTTGTAAGAGATATAAAATAACTAAAAGCTAGGATTACTAACCCAATGCTATAACACTAAAACACTCAAAACTGTTTATAAACACATATTAATATTCATGTTAAGGATACAGACCAAAGGAACAGGGACTCAGAGGGCTGAAAAAATGGATTTAAAAAAATAGATAAATTTAAATAATTAATTCTCTAAAATTACTCATACCCAGTACTCTTAACTTGTATTCAAACATTAATTGTTACAGAGCAGAATCTAGCAATGTATGTAATAAACAGTAAACATTTTGTCAGTAAATTTCCTGAGAATAATAGGACAATCAATTAGAACAGTTAATAGACCAGATAACTGATATATATCTCTTTGTATTTTTTGTATAGCCCCTTGGACTGTCAACACGAGAGATTAAATTACAACAGAAAAAGAAAAAGGAGAAAGATAAGTATGTTATTTTTCAGGAGCTTTTTAGATTTTTAATCCATTGTATGTGGTAGTTGAGCTATTAAGTGTGAATTGTCTACATTTCACCATATATAGTTCACTGGTCTGTCAGATTTTATGATAATTGAATGAAATAATTCTAGGATAAAGCATTTGAATTCTATGCCCCAGGGATAAAATGAAGGAAAGTATTGGGAAATTTGTTGAATAGATCTGGTAAAAACCCACTTGAAAGAGAAACTTTGTGTTGGGGACACTATAAAACAATTCTATTGTATTCACTCTCTGGGTAAATTCACTCTGCTCTAGATTTGAATATTGTTTGGCATGTTTTTATATTTTAAGAGAGCATATTTCACTGATGCAAACCTGACAAAGAAGAACCAAAATTTTTCTACAGATTTTCCCCAGCCATTTTCATTGTTACTAAAGTATTTGATATTTTTGGTCCTCTTGTCTCTGATCTGGTTCGTTATATGGAAGTAGAACAGACAAAATCAGAATACTGTCTCTTTCATACAGTCCTTTACAGATTACAGGTAGTCTTGACTTATGACCGTAGTTGAGTTCAAAATTTCTGTTGCTAAGTGAGACAGTTGTTAAATGAATTTTGCCCCATTTTATGACCTTTCTTGCCACAGATGAGTTAAGTGAATCCCTGCAGTTGTAAAGTTAGTAACATTAAGTGAATCTGGCTTCCCCATTGACTTTGCTTGTCAGAAAGTTGCAAAAAGTGATCATATGACCTGGGATACTGCAACCATCATAAATGTGAACCAATTGCCAAGCATCTAATTAATTTGGTGATCATGGGAATGCTGCAACAGTCATAAGTGTGAAAAACTTATCATAAATCACCTTTTTCAGTGCTGTTATAACTTCGGTCACTAAATGAGATGTTGTAAATCAAAGACTATCTGTACTTCTACTAGTATGTTTTTCTAGTACACGGACTATTTTTATGTGTCTCCTTTTCTCCCCGGTAGTTACAAACTTAGACCGCTTTTAAATAACCTAGAAAGGATGTTGTTTTAAAAAAAATCTACAATTGTTAATGTAGTTAACAATCTGCAATTGTTAATGTAGAGTAGTTAAATGGGCCCATTTACTTTCTCTGAAGGGTCTTGCTATCTGAACATCATAACTTAAGAATCACTGAAGCTCTCAGTCTGATGCATGACTTGCTGTCCGACACCGCACAGCTCCCTTCCAGTAACTCTAAACCATCATCCAGGAGAAAATCCTCTTATGATTTTAAGCAGCTACGCATCCCTTCTGCTGGAGGGTAAAGTATTGTAAAGTCGTATTGTCATTAATTTTTCTGCTTCGTTCTCAGATTTACCAATGTGACAATACTGTGCAGGGCTTGTCAGACATAAATCTGAGTACCGTTGCATTGCTCTTATTCCTAGAAAAAAGCACCGCACTGAAATACTGAAAATTTTAATACTGAACATTAACAGCGCTAATTTTAACATTTACCTTCACAGTGGTTCAGTATCATAGCAATGGCAATGTACTGAGGGATGGTTGACAAACTTTTTGAGGGGTGTTCTGTTTCAAAATTGCTGATGCAGACACAGTATTAGCAGTCAACAGGAAAGTAATTCAAATGCATAGCAGAGAATGGTTGCCTGAAAAATGCCAGTACAGTCCAAAGAGCAGTAGCATAATCCCAATACATTCCAAGAGTCACAGAAAACCAAATTAGGTAGTCAGGCCAGTCAAAGGGCCACAAATAAGAAAGAGGAACAAAAGATACAAACTAGGATTCCAAACACTTGTTTCCAAGCAAAGCAGCTACCTGAAGCTGTCTGCTGACCCCTGACTGCAATCATTCGTGCCTCACCCTTTGCCTTGCCTATCGGCCTGTATAGACTAGTTTATATTTTCAAAAAGTTCTAGAACAGGGGTCTCCAACCTTGGCAACTTTAAGACTTGTGGACTTCAGCTCCCAAAATTCCTCAGCCAGCAAAGCTGAGAATTGAAGCCCATAAGTCTTAAAGTTGCCAAGGTTGGAGACCCCTGTTCTAGAATAATCATTGCAATTATAAAAATACATTTCTTTTTTAATTGAAGTTTCCATGGGAGGAGCAAGCCATTTGCCAAAGTTGGCTTTGGTCCAGCGAGATCCCTTTCAAGTCTGTCTTGTGACACAGCTTGGAAAAAGGGTAAGAAACAAAGATCTCTTAATATCATACCAGTTATGAGATATTCAGTACAAAGTGCATGGAGCATTTTTAGACTCTAATATTCTACACCTGCATTTTGCATCATAAAGTTTAAATAAATAAGCAAACAAGCTTTATGGAGAAATGGAACATTCATTCCATTTCAATAGAGCCTTGAAATTTTAGAGTGATGCAAACAAAAAGACATAGCAAAGAAAGAAACTCTAGGTTTCTGCCATGCTGAAGATAATAAAGATCACTAGATCACACCAAATTGTAATCTGGCAACTTCGTTTGAAGTTCCTTAATCCATAATGTGAAAAGAACAGTTTTGTTGTCTTTTTTGCTTAAGGTCGACTCTGCCAAACTCCCTACAGAAGAACACCACTAGAATCCCATCAAGGTGAAGCATATGGGAAAAGCCGTAGAAACCAGAGGCAATGGATGAGTAGCAGGCTGGACCTGAGAAGCCATGGTTTGTGGTTGCATAAAACTCAGTGCTGTTCATTGGGATCTCCACAGTCCCTTCTGTTTTTAGAAAAAGACCTTCTCCCGTTGCTAGGCTTTTTCAGTTTGGATTAATTCATAATGATTAATCTTTTTTCAGAGTTTAACTCTTCTTGTTCACCTGTTTGGAGTATTTTAGGGATAATTTAATACAAATCCAATCATTAGGTAAACTAAGGTAGCTCACAGAGCCTTGTCTAATGAGCTGAGGAAGTAAAAACTTATCTAAATAGATCATTGGCAATACTTATAGTTTAAATGTCCTCTTCTTAGTTGGAATACTTTCCAGATCTTTGGGGTGAGGTGGGGGTGGGGGAGCTGTTCCCCTACACTGTTTGGAAGCCTCATTGAAGAGAATCACTACTAATGCAGAAAGATTTAAAAATAGGCTCTGCAAGCAATAATTGGAGTCCAAAAATTGATAACTATGGACATAAATTCTGTGCAAGGCCTATATACATTTTTCCCCCTTATGAACGCTTGTGGGAAACTATACCCTATCCCAATATAATGGCTAGTATAGACTCATACATTATAATAACTTTTTGACATAATTTAGCAACAGTGATATTGTTTTGTAGCTCACTGTCTTTTGATGGACATGAAGGAACTACAGGAACATATAGGGTTGCCTTCTTGATGCCCCACACCTGAATGAGACAGTGCCAAGTTGGTCACATATATATCAAGGGACATGGAAATTCAGATTAACAGAGTTGTTAATGTTCTTGATAGTGAGCTTCCCTCCATTCATGGTCAAGCCAGGAAGAGCCTCAGGTATTCTTGAAGTCAGGTATTCATGGCTCTATAATTGTTGGGATGTTGAAGCTGGGAGGAGAAGCCTGTGAGATCTTCAGTGGGCCCTCTGTCTCTGTCATTGATTAACAGATGCCTGATAGATACCAAGGTCAACCATGGGAGCGTAGCCTGAAGTGAAATAGAAATGCTTAACTAGAAGGTCCCTTTTAGATATTTTTAAGAGATATGAAAAGCAGCACTAAAACTTACTTTTATCAAATTGGATTCCAAATTGAGGTCCAAACTACAGAATATTTACATAGTTAAGAAGTTCAGATAAACTAAAACAAAAAATCTTTCAACAACTTCCCTCCAGCTTCTGATCAGACAAGAGAATCAATGAATGAGAAAAGGTTCTTCACTTCTAGTATGACATCTCAGGCCACCGAAGAGACTGATGACAATACTGTGAGTGGTTGGAGTGTCCCCGAAGAGATCCAGCAAATACTGTATGGCACATCTAATGCACATTCCAACAAGGTGAGGACGGCAAAAATAGAACAAATTGGGCTATAGCTCTGAAATAGTTACTTGTTTGTGTCTTTATTTTATTTGATATTTATATCTCTCCTGGGGAAAGGATCAGATTCTTATTGTTTACAGTGCCTTTTCATATGTTAACATTTGACCCCAAATCTAGTTTTGGAATTGATAAATTCTTGTTAATCTTCTACTCCCCAAAAATAGGACTATAGTCTGAGGGTTTGAAAAAAAAAAAGAGGGTTTTCCTTAAAAGGAAAATATGAAAAGGTTTCATCTGAAGAGCCAACAATTTTGGGGGTGAGCAAAATCATCTTCTCCCAGGATACCAGTGGGCCATGCTATACGAAGGGTATCCCTCCCCCCCCCTTTTCCCCAAAGTGGGGACAAGTTAGACGGAAGGTCTTTCCAGTGTTCCTCACTATTGCTGTGCTGTATTTTAAGGAGGCAAAATAGAAGGGGAAGATGAGAAAAGCTTAGGCCTCCAAATGAATCCCTGTTGTACTATATAAAATGTACTTCAATAAGGCACAGAGCAATCTTAAAGAGCAGGGCAGATGCATCCATTGGAGATAGTACTATAAGAAACTGGTGACTACGGAAATAGAAAGCAAGGAAAGAGTGGGGCCAATGAATGATTTCCAACAGAGATCAAACATTATGGCTTTTTGTTAATTATATACTTTCGTTATTAGCCGGCCTAATTTTAACCCAAGGGGAAAGAGACTTTTTTGGCCTTGAAAAGGTCTCTTGACTGGTCTGCTTCTTATCTCCATCATGCTTCTCTTCCTCTCTCCAGGAATCACTTCCAGAAGATGCTTGCTCGATTGCCAGCCTTAATAATGCTGACAGCGTGAGTGAAAGTACCGGCAGCATCCTTAGCAAGCTTGATTGGAATGCCATAGAGGCTATGGTAGCAAATGTGGAGGAGAAGTAAAACTGTATCTAGTCTGTTCTGGTCTTTAAAAGGACATTAAGTGGAATATGGAAATGAATAAATAACTGGTGGTGAAGTTGGAAGAGGATCAAGCAACGTCACCACAAGTAACATCAAGGGCCAATATTCACCCATTCAGGAGATTCTGCATAATGTTACAGAAAAATTCAAGGACTTTTTTTTTTTTTAATGATTACCTTCAGAATAATTTGATTGGTAGTGGTGGTGGTGTTCCACAAGATGCCATTTTAGGACTTGTAGAATATGTAGAAGTTTAATAAATCTGGCAAATAAGGTCCTAAGGATGTTATAAACTTGTATTTTTGAAAGAGTGTTTAGAATGTAGGTGACCAGGCTTGCATCTTGGTTTCAATGAATCTTGTTTAAAATTATGAACATTTAAATATTTTTGTAATAAAATATTTGGGGTGTTTTGTTTTGTTTTTGTTATGTTTGAAAATGTTTTTTGTAGGGGTGACAAGTTTGTGTTATATCAGGTTAGTTTTGAAGGTGTTGCTGATACCCAGTATCTCTTGTTGGGTTATTTTTTGGTAGTCTGTGAGAAGTAATCAGGCCTTAAAATATGATGCCTCCTTCACTATGTGAATATTTAAAAGAGTTTCATTTCTTTTAATTCATTCTCTTAGTAAATTTTTAGTTCCTACAATTCTTATTTGTGGAATACTTGACATTTTCTGAATATATCTTCCATCAGAACTTTGAGGCCGTTTTGAGTTGTTCTTTTAAAATGAAAGATGTTGAAACATTGAGTGGATAAATATTTATGCTCAATTTAAGAAAATAACAGGTATTTCATATATTCAGTTTACGAATTTGCCAGTGTTACAGTTTATCATAAAGACATGTTCTGGCTCCTAGTTTGGGAGCCCTTTTTCACACACTAGACATGCTCCCTCGGAAGGTAGCTAATCGTCAGCCCTTTGAGGTAGGCCAGCTAAAGAGCAAGAATGACTGGAACTCTCCTGAACTCTAACATAGGTTGTAGTAACAATCTTGAAAGCCTCTTTTGCCTTCCCACCTTCTTACACCTCTGGGAATTAGGGTGAAGCCAGTTCGAGTTTTTAATGTTTTCTTCATGCCTTGTCTAACGTCGTCTCTGTGGCTCCAAACTCTGGTGGAAGAGGATTCTGAGGAAGCAAACTATCACTCACAAAAGCTGGTGCCTTTTCATAACGTTTTGAACAGGCATTACCAGATTGGGCTCTTGTAAACTAAATGATTCTCCTCCGTTTGGTAACGAAATGAACTCTAATCTTTTCGCTCAGTTACTAGTGAGATTATTCCTTTTGTAATTAAGATGAGGTTTGTAAATAAGGAAGCCCCATTATATTTTAATGGGATGAAAGAACTTTCAGAGTGCTTAATTAGATAATCTGGTGGCATTCAGGAGATTTGCACAGCAGGATGGGATGTTCATGATACCACGATGATGTCACTTTGTAAATCATGATTACATCTTTATCTGTATTTGTAGAAGTTGTACAGTGATACTCTAGATATGCAATATACACTGCTCAAAAAAACATAGGGAACACAAAAATAAGACATCCTAGATCTGAATGAATGAAATATTCTTATTAAATAGGTTGTTCATTACATAGTTGAATCTGCTGACAACAAAATCACACAAAAATGTCAATGGAAATCAAATTTAGCAACCCATGGAGGTCTGGATTTGGAGTTACATGCAAAATTAAAGTGGAAAAAAACACTACAGGCTGATCCAACTTTGATGTAATGTCCTTAAAACAAGTCAAAATGAGACTCAGTGTGTGTGGCCTCCACATGCCTGTATGACCTCCCTACAACACCTGGGCATGCTCCTGATGAGGTGGCGAATGGTCTCCTGAGGGATCTCCTCCCACACCTGGACTAAAGCATCCCCCAACTTCTGGACAGTCTGGTGCAACGTGACGTTGCTGGATGGAGCAAGACATGATGTCCCAGATGTGCTCAACTGGATTCAGGTCTGGGGAACGGGCGGGCCAGTCCATAGCATCAATGCCTTCGTCTTGCAGGAACTGCTGACACACTCCAGCCACATGAGGTCTAGCATTGTCTTGCATTAGGAGGAACCCAGGGCCAACCGCACCAGCATATGGTCTCACAAGGGGTCTGAGGATCTCATCTTGGTACCTAATGGCAGTCAGGCTACCTCTGGCATGCACATGGAGGGCCCCTAAAGAAATGCCACCCCACCCTATTATTGACCCACTGCCAAACCGGTCATGCTGGAGGATGTTGCAGGCAGCAGAACATTCTCCATGGCATCTCCAGACCCTGTCAAGTCTGTCACGTGCTCAGTGTGAACCTGCTTTCATCTGAGGAGAGCACAGGGCACCAGTGGTGAATTTGCCAATCTTGGTGTTCTCTGGCAAATGCCAAACGTCCTGCACAGTGTTGAGCTGTAAACACAACCCCCACCTGTGAACATCGGGCCCTCATACTACCTTCATGGAGTCTGTTTCTGTCCGTTTGAGCAACCACATGCACATTTGTGGCCCACTGAAGGTCATTTTGCAGGGCTCTGGCAGTGTTCCTGTCCCTCCTTACACAAAAGCGGAGGTAGCAGTCCTGATGCTGGGTTGTTGCCCTCTACGACCTCCTCCACGTCTCCTGATGTACTGGCCTGTCTCCTGGTAGCGCCTCCATGCTCTGGACTCTACGCTGACAGACACAGCAAACCTTGCCACAGCTCGCATTGATGTGTCATCCTGGATGAGCTGCACTATCTGAGCCACTTGTGTGGGTTGTAGACTCCGTCTCATGCTACCACTAGAGTGAAAGCACCGCCAGCATTCAAAAGTGACCAAACCATCAGCCAGAAAGCATAGGAACTGAGAAGTGGTCTGTGGTCACCACCTGCAGAACCACTCCTTTATTGGGGATGTCTTGCTAACTGCCTATGCTTTCCACCTGTTGTCTATTCCATTTGCACAACAGCATGTGAAAGTGATTGTCAATCAGTGTTGCTACCTAAGTGGACAGTTTGATTTCACAGAAGTCTGATTGACTTGGAGTTACATTGTGTTGTTTAAGTGTTCCCTTTATTTTTTTGAGCAGTGTATTAGAATGAACCAACTGTTTAACATATTGGTAATAAGGTATCTTCGGGAGTATGTAAAAAAATTATGATTTGTCCCTTCTTGTTCTCCTAATACTACTCCTAATTACTATTACTACAAAAACACTCAGTGTTAGTAAAAAGGTGTAGAGCATGGGTGTCTAACTCATGGCATCACATTGCCGTTGTGATGGGCTGGGGTGGGTGTGGCCTACACGGGGCGCATCCAGCCCATGACACCCCTGGTGTGGAGCATGGAACAGGGAAATACACACAGTTCTCATTTAGTGACTGCTTGTTCAATGACCAGTTACCAGGGTGCTGAAAAGGATAGTTATGACCAGCCCCTTAGCTTGCAGCTGTCATGTTCCCGCAGTCATGTGATGACGACTTGGCTGCTTGGCAACTGGCATGCATTAATGACAGTCACAGCATCCTGCAGTCACAAATGATCACCATTTGATACATTCACAGCCAGTTTTCCTCAACCAAAGTCAGTGGGGAAGTTGCAAGTCACAATAATATGATGTTGCGCTTAATAACTTACTGACAAATCAGAGCAGTCCAGAACATTTCAATTTATGACATTACTTAGCAACAGAATTGCCAGTCCCTATTAAGATTTTGGTGAGGATTACCTATATTAAGACATGGAAAATACTTGTGTATCTATAGAGTAAATACAGGTAACCCTCGACTTACGATCACAATTGGGACCAGAATTGTGTTGCTAAGCAAGGCAATTTGTTGAGTGAGTCCCTCTCAATTGTATGACTTTTTGCAGTTGTTAAGTGTATCATGCAGTTGTTAAGTGAATGGGAAGATCACAAATGTGATCATGTGACCCCAGGACCCTGCAACTGTCAAAAATACATGCTGGTTGCCAAGTTACTCATTTTCATCATGTGACTGTGGGGATGCTTTAGCAGTTGTACCTGCAAGAACTAGTTGCAAGTCACTTTTTTCAGTGCTGTTGTAACTTTGGTCACTAAACAAATGGTTGTAAATCAAGGACTACCTGAACAGTATAGCATGGATTAATATGGCTTCAGATTAATGCATATCTTGAGAGCATTGCTTATGTTAATTCCAGTTAACATCAAACTGCTCAGAATGTTTTTTTTTAATGGAATGGACAAATTCCAATCATTTCTCTTAAAAGTATGACTTTCATACACTGGTTTTAATTTTGCAGATTTTAAACTACCATTAACTTGTTAAAGTAATGTTTTGCAATGAAAATATTAAAATTATGTACCATTGTGGGCTCATCTATAATCACCCTTGGACCTAGCTATAATTCCCTCAAGATAGTTAAGAGATAGGTAAGAAATTAAAATTGGACTTCAAATTTCCATGAAGCATCTCTGAAAATCTAGAATTCATGTTTTGGCTTTGAAAATGAGATTGAAAACAACCTTAGGATAAATATTACAGAAGGAATATACCTACAAGGATTCTCTGAAGAGAAATCATAGGCTTCCATTTATTTTGCCAGTTCTTAACTCAGAAGTAACCAGCTTCAAACTTTAAGTGGGCTTCAAGAGCCCGAGAGTTGAGGGAGGAGTCTACAGTCATACATATAAAGTCCATCTACTTGCATCCTATATTTATCAGTTTAGAGTATATCACCCAGGTGAGCTGGGAGAACAAGCAGTTATGGGCAATTGAGCAAGTATTTAATGATAGCAACTAGATTAGCTATTCAAGAAGATAAACTAGGAGCCAGTGAAGCTTGGTAACTTTGAGAGTAATACAGCCAAGTGGGTGAATTGTGATTAGATGACTGCAAAAGCTCAAATTAACTTTCAGAGTTCTTGGAAGACTTGGGTTGCAGTGTCAAGTATCTTTCCTGCCACAATAGAGAAGCTATCAGATGTGCATCAAGAACTCTCTCTGCTTGATATGTCTGTGCCATGAGGCCAGCAATCATTTGATTTTTTCACCATTTTACTCTTGATTCCTTGCCGCCATCCCTTTTTGGATAACATAAATTCAAATTTAATGGCCACCCACTCATGATTCTGCATATGTACAATAATGAACAAATTCCCAGGGGACTGCATGGAAGCTAATATACAGTATTCCAATTAAAAATGTAGTTTTTAGGGCTCAAATAATCCTGTTCAACTGAACCCATCCCCCTACAATGACTGTCAGTTGTTGGGTGGAATAAATAACATTTCTTACAAGATACTGATATGAGATGGCAAAGCCCAACAACCATAACCACATCAAATATATGTGGCTTTGGCTTCACGTCATTTAGCGTGTGTGTGTGTGTGTGTGTGTGGTATTCAACTTTGTTCGGTATTTTCCCACGTCATTATAGTTGTGCTTTTAAAGTTGTAACAACGTTTCGGCAGAATCTCATCTGCCATCATCAGGTTTCTGTATAGTGTTCGTCTGTACGTGAAACAGTGAATATATTTGAAATATATTTGAAATATATACCCATCTCACTATTGGTATTTAGGAATATCCCTTTCTAAAATGTTCCAGTTCAGCAGAAAGATTCAATCTACAAACAACTCTGTGTTTATGGGGCAAAAAAAAGTTTCATCTATTTATGTAATATGAATCAGTGGAATGGACTGAAATCTTCAACATAGAAACCCCCCACCCTTTTCTTTTTTAATTAAAAGACATTTTGGGCCCATCACCCTAAGGAATAGGGTTAATTCTTCATGTAATCCATTATCAAGAAATTCTTATTCTCCTTAGTGTATTTCACAGCAATTATTATGGAGCTATGTGATTAATTTTCTGGTGAAACAGAACATAATAAAATCAATTTGTAGATACCATGGGAGTAAATGAGTGAATGTTAACTGCCAGTATTGTACAAAAAAGAATTAGGCAAAATATAGTAATGAATGCAGCATAGCTTTTGCTTTCGCAACCTTAAAAATAAAATTTGCCCAGAAATATTTGCAGCCCATTACGACAAAGAAGAGGAAATGAAAAATATTTCATAGAGCAATTACATTCTGGTAATTATTAGTCATGTCAGTTTAATTTTTCAATTCTGTACAAGATAATGAATTTGAATATTGTGTTACTATTTCCTACAGATCAAGTAACACACTAGAATTATGTAAATTAATGTAATAAAAACACACCCCACCATATATTAATTTTATAATTGAATGCATCTAAAATCTTTGATGAACATCCACTTTTAAATAAAATGTAGAATTTAAAATAGTTATTTGCTAATTACTATGCTATTCATTTCTTCTGCTTTTGTCAATATGCAAAAATTATTTTTCTGTTATTATCCAGAAATAGAACAGCTGAAAGAATGGTGACAAGCACACATTGAAGCACCACTCCAGAGACAGTTTAAAATAGCATTTTCAGTGTATAAAAGATGGAAACAGATTTCAAGTAATTAAAAAAACCCTATCTACAATACAGCCATTTCTGTTCAGCTTTTTTTAAAAAATCATTTAAAATGGTTAAGTTTAGTGCAACTATAAGTTACAAATCCATATTGATTCCTGACATTTTCAGGCTCCAACTGAGTAAGGGAGTACCACTTGGATCATAAAGTAAATAACAACAGAATACAGGCGCACCATCATTCAGGAGATGCCTCTGCGCATTATGTCCTGGTGTAATGCATTCTGATGTCCTAACAAAGTATACATGTTTCTTTACTCAGAACAAAGTGATGGCTTTCCCCCTATGTTTTGAACATTGCCATATGAACAGCATTAGAAAGAAATTGAAGCATACAAGAAATAAACTATAGTTTCTTTTTATATCAAAATGTACTCTTGAAAATGTGTTTGGCACAGTGCTAAATCATATAGTTAATACTAAATATTGCAGGATACAATAAAACCCTGGAGTTAACTTGTGTTTACACCCTTGTAAGGGATAAAGATACCAATTATTCAGAAATCACCCTATACAAACTGTATAAACAATATTTATGTCTTGCTTTGAAAACCACTGATATAGTAAATTTTACATAAAAGACTGGAAAATAATATAAATGGATTTAAACAGATCTTTACAATAAGAAATTCAAATGGAAACAGACAAGTAACAAAGAGAAGTAAAAAAATTTATTGCAGTATTCGTTCCACCAGATTTGCTGGGGATCCCTTTTCTTGTATTATTTCAGGGTGACCTAATACATCAAAAATCTACATTTACAAAAACTCCTCCTGCAGGTAGGTCATAGATACTGCATGCTTTTTCCCCCAACAGAATAAATTATATATCCAGGAAATTCTGCCATTTTACAGCCTGGAAAAACGATGCTTTCCTTGAAACTGGGCTAAGCTAAAGAAAGCCATCCGCTGCTAGGTTAAACTCCAAGAACACTTTATTAAGAACATTAACAGACTAATTTCCAACATTCACTTGTTTTATTTTTTTTTAAACAGAAAGGTTTTTTTTCAAGATATAAACATTTTTTCGTTAAACTATTATACAGTGGGAGTAAAAATGAACTGAGAAGTTTCTGCTGCACAACAGCGAAGGAAGCTCCCACAAAAATGTTTACCAAACATTTCCTTCTGTTTCCTGCATCCCAGGTGTCATTCTTACTCTTCATTAAATTGATATTTTTTTTTGCCAGAAAGTTGGTAATTTCAAGTTTTTTTTTTTCTGTTCTTTCCTGTAAAATTTGGCTGCATGTGTACAAATGCATTATTAGCTGGAAGTTCCATCCTTGGCGGCATACAGCGATCGTAAAGTCTGAACAACTTTATTAGTCAGCTTATTAGCACTCGTTAGAGCAATTTTTTTGTAAATAATGTCTGACTCTTTGATAGTGTCTACCCAAGGCACCAGTTTGCGGCCATCACGGCGCTTAGCCTCAGTCCAGGAGCCACTGTAGGAGCCTGCCATCCATTGAACACTGAAGCCATTGCTGGTTTTCTGCACTACTCTTGCAATTTGTGGTCGATCTTTGTACTTTGGACAGCAAATAGCGATGACATCCATGACATCAACACTTTCATTCATCTGTGCTGCCAACTCCGTAGAGTCTGAATTTCGTTTTGACCTTCTCAATGACTAAAACATTGGAGGGGAAAAAAGACCAAGTGTTACACAAAAGAACTTGATTGAAATTATTGCTTTTATTGCTTTTAATCCCTTGACGCCGGGAGTTGGGATTTTCCGGCACACATTCCATTGCCGGCAATGAGACGCGACCGCCAGCGCCAAGGGGTTAACATATCCTTGCAAAATCACATATTTTAATTTGTACCCGTCTCTTTAAACTCTTATTGATATATAAAATTATATATACAAATGAATCATAAAGCTACATAAAAACTTGGCAACAATAAAAAGGTTACACACAATACATTCCAAAGGAAATTTTTTATACTAGATATAATCTATGTTTTTATTGTTTTTGTTAAAACTTTCTACAAAAAGTTGTATAAACGGTTAAGAATTTCTATCTACAATTTTTATATGCATTACATTACTCAATGTACATTTTATTATAGACTGACATTTATAAGCACATAAAATCATTTTACGTAATACGCTGCGAAATACGTTGACTCCTCCTCCGCCTCACCCCTGAAGTGCCTCCTCCTCTATCCTCCCCATCACTCTCATCCTCCTCTGTCTCAGCTGCATTGTTCCTAGGGCTGCCACCTCCGAGCAGCGAGGTAATAGCTTTGTTGCGAGCATTTGTGCTTGCTGACACTTCCCCATCTTCTTCCTCTTCATCAGGATCCAAATGTTCCATAAGAAGTTTGAACTAAAAAAAGAAGGGGAGGGGGGAGGGGAGAAACTGTTTTAGGAGGAATATGCCCATTTTTTTAAGCTGAAATGATCTGTTACAAAATTTTGTTTTCTTTCTCAGACAAACTAATTAGAAGACAAAAAAAATATGCTTGGTCTTTTCATTGTTGACAGCTCCAACCAAGCTACAAAATAGTTGAAGCATCTCGCCCCTTCCTCTCAAACCATCTGTAGATAATGTGCAGTTCAAAAATTATGCATAATTTTGTGCAGAAAAACTTTTGGGCAACTGGCTCTAATTACAGAAGGTATGTGACATATGGACATGTACCATGTTTCCCTGAAAACACAACCTACTCCAAAAGTAAGTCCTAGCTTGAATTTTATACGCGCGCCCAATATAAGCCCTACCCCCCCCCCCAATAAGCCCTAATTCAGTTCCCACCCACTCCAGGGTGCATGGGTAAAAATTAAGCTAGGGTGGGGATGTGGGAGGGGATGGAGCTGCCCTACTACTTACCTTCAGACAGTTGCAGCCAAGCTTCACATACCCCGACACCTGTCTTGCAGGCTATTTCTTCTGCAACCAGCAAGGCTTTCCCAAAGGCCTGTGCAGCTGATAACAGAACTCTGGATCAATCTGGAGCTTTGTTATCAGCTGCAGAGTCCTTCAGAAAAGCCTTGCCAGCCACAGAAGAAGTTCCTGAAGGCCTCTGACAGCAAAAAAGGAGGCCAGGGGTGATGCAGATAAGTGAGGTGAGTCAGTGGACAACATCTGCCACCCCCAGCCCCCCAGAAATAAGACCTGGTGCCTTCTTGATGGCAAAAAGCAAATATAAGACAAGGTCTTATTTTCGGGGAAACACAGTAGCAGGTGAAGAAGAATTCCAGAACATAAAATTTGCCTTTTAAAAAACAGTTATGCACCAAACACTATGGTTTGTCTTTGTCCCTGCAATACTTGGTTCTCAGTGGTCTCCCTCCAGATACTCAAAAAATGGGCTGACTGAAGAAAATGGTTGTTAAATTATAATCGGGACACCTAGATGCATGTCAATCTGTATACATTAAGTGACGTTTCAACTTCCTTGTTGAAACCTCTGCTTTGAAAAACAGACATGCCCAGAATCTGGAGGAAAAAACAAGATCCTAGGCAATAAGATAGTGCAGGAACCAGTTAGTCTGCTTTATATATTCCTAATTTTTCTGTTTCTGATGGGGTCAGATTTTAGTTGGCTTATCCCTGGACAACCGAACCATATTGCATAGTAAGAAAAGTGAAAAGGCTAATTTATTATGTGTCACAAAACTTTAAAATGAAAATTTGAACTAAATCATCAATGCTTCTAGAAATGGATTCTAATACATATTTTATTTAAAATATTGTACATTTCATTCATTAAGATAGATTTTTATGTTTTCATATACTGTACCACTGTGATTTGTATGATTAAAGCAGTTCAAATATATAAATAAACATGCCAAGATATGCTGCTTCTGATTCATTCTGATTCTGATTTATATAGCCATGATTATCTAGTTACTTAAAACCATTTTATTTATTATTTATTTATTTATTTTATTTATTTTATTTATTAATTATTTAGTTACTTAAAACCATTTTATCTAATGGCACAGAACTGCACAATAGCACTAGCAATAACAGACTACAATAAGTGCTATTGCTATTGCTAGACTTATATACCACTTCACAATATTTTACAGCCCTCTCTAAGTGGTTTGCAAAGTCAGCCTATGGCCCCCAACAATCTAGGTCCTCATTTTCCACCTCGGAAGGATGGAAGGCTGAGTCAACCTTGACTTAGTTCAGTCAGGACTGAACTCTTGCAGTGAGCAGCGATTTAGTCCTGCAGTACTGCATTCCAAGCATCACGCCCCCATGCCTCCTGTGCTACAATTCCAAGTAGTTCCTGACTTACAACTATTACTTAGTGATTCTTTGAAGTTATAACTTTGAAAAAAGTGACTTATGGCTATTTTTCACCCAAACCTTATAGCATCCCTTGGTCACAATAAAAATCCGGGAATCTGACAACTGTGCCAGTTGTATTTATATTTGCAGTGTCCTAGGATTATGTGATCACCATTTGTAGCCTCTACAGCTGGCTTCTGACAAGCAAAAGCAATGGGGGAAACCAGATTCACTTAACAACCATGTGATTCACTTAAGAACTGCAGTAATTCACTAAACAACTATAGCAAAAAAGGTTGTAAAATGGGACAGAACTCATTTACCAATTGTCTCGCTTAGCAACAGAAACTTTGGGCTCCTCATCATAAGTCAAGGACTACTTGCATACATATTTTTTTCCTTGTATAAAGATATTTTATGGGTTCTATAATCATTTCACATTTAATTTGATACCTATCTCATTTCACACCTGTGGAAAAAGTCTATCTTCAGCCAGTAGTAAATAGTGATGTTTTAAATAGTGAAAACTTACATCTAAGTATTGTTTCACTATATTCCTCTTCACATCTTCTGTGAGCCTGGAATTAGCCATATCACTTCGAAGGAAGTCCAGCGTTTGTTTTGGATGAAAGTGAATTCCTGCTTTTCTGTTTATCGCTTTATCATAAACTTTTGCCGATTCAGAAGGTGAGTATTTCTGAATTTTACTAATAAAACAAAATAAATGTTGTAAGAAAAATTCCAGTGTACTTTAAAGGAAACAATAACAACAGATATTCGGAATTGGTCAAACTTTTTTAACATTATAAAAACAAATGTTAAATATTTAAGTATTATTGATTCAAGTTCCCAAGAATTCAGTCCCAAATATACTCTCACCAATTTATAAAACATAGGTAATATAAGCAAAACTAAAATCGTCCTTACGTATCAGAAAATCCGCATAGGTTCTTCAAATGCTGTTTCAACATCAAAAGCAACAATATGCCCTGGGAGACATTTGCAAATTCAATCAAAGGAGCTGAATTGTCTGGCAAACATTTCATGACTGCATTTATATCATTTTCTTCATCAGTGTCTGAATCAGAATCTGCACGTTTTCGTGATTTCCGGGATTTGTGAATTTCCTCCTCGCTTTCACTGTCACTTTCACTATTGCTCTCACTTTCACTTTCTTCATCAGAGGAAGGCTTTTTTTCTTTTTTATATTTTACCATAGACTGAAAGAGACACATGTGCTTTAGACTACTAACAATACAATAACTTTTCTGCAATTTCACATTTTAACATATTTCTCACATTTGAAATAGCAATAGCACTTAGACTTATATACCACTTTATAGTGCTTTAAAGCCCTCTCTAAGCGGTTTATAGCATCAGCCTCTTGCCCCCAACAATTTGGGTCCTCATTTTACCCACCTCGGAAGGATGGAAGGTTGAGCCAACCTTGAGCCTGATAGGATTTGAACTGCCAAATTGTAGGCAGCTGGCTGCAGAAGTAGCTTGCAGTACTGCACTCTAACCACTGCGCCACAGAGGCTCCTCAACGAATACTGTGATGACATTTTGTGCAACGCCACATCAATATTGAAATTTATACATGAGCACTTGGGGATTTCATTTTCAATTTGGAATATAATTGACATGTTCCACCAAGGAGACTGCTTAACTTCATTACTGGCAGTCCTTTGCAGCACTTAGCATGCCTCTTCTCACTGAATACAGCTATTTTTTTATATCTAAGATCTATCAGAAAAATAACTATTAAAATCCTCATGAATTCTCTGTAGGTATTATTAAAAAAAATTCTGAAAAATAAATGAAGGCTCTGAGTAAAACATCTGACATCAGACTATTTCACTCATTACATGAAGCTTCTTCACTTTTTTGCTTTGCACATCGATCGTAAATATTATATGAAGCAAACTACACATATGAGGAAGTTGGCTTCTTGTGAGTTTGAGAGATCCCTCAGCAATGGATCCCATGAGAAGAATCCATATTACTGGCTCTTGTCTTCATACTATAGGGGTATCTTTACATGAAAGTAATCATTATTCGTATATGCATGTCACTGTGTGTGTGTGTGTGTGTGTGTGTGTGTAGGAAAGAGGGAGGGAGGGGAACGGGACGGGGAAAGGGAGGGGGAGGGGGAGGAGGGAGGGAGGGAGGCAGGGAGGGAGGGAGGGAGGGAGGGAGAGAGAGAGAGAGAGAGAGAGAGAGACTGAGACCTCAGAGCTTATTAGCCCCAATCCTATTAGCATATATGTAGGTTTTGAAGACCTAACTGTTCCCTAAGGGTTGTGGACAGAATGTCAGATGAATGTAAGAGATAGTCTTCGTTGGTGCATCTTTATATTTTGTTGCAGATGAGGATTTTCATTCACTTTTTGTCAGTGTTATTATTGCGATTTGCCTCCCAGAGTCATATTTTTTGTGAGTTGGGAGTCATAAAAATCCATAGTTTTGGTGTGTTAACATTAAATACTCCTATTGAAAAATAGCCAATTAATGTAAAACATTCTATATATTTCAGAAAAGGACTCAATTTTTTTTCTTTTTACAATCCTGTCATCTCTTAATTTGGGATAGAGTTGGACTGACTGGTTGGAGCTGAGAGTTCACGACCAGATGCCCTTCCTTACACCTTCCTGACGGCTGATGAAGTGTCTGAATTAACATTTTACAAAATGTAGTTTATAAATAAAAGGCCGCCTCTATTAAATTTATAAACTTAAAAATTATAACTTTCTGAGAACTTAAGATTGAAAGACTGCACTAAATTACTTTTTAGAGTTTAAATTTATACAAAGATATTCCTTTCATCTTCTCTTGACAGTTGACAGTTTTTGGTCAATTTCACAGACAAAATTAAAATTATTCTAGAACTCTGTAGGCAGTAGATATACTATTTTGATCAATGCAGGTACATTGTCTTAGTTGGGGAAATATCTGTCCAAGATTCTACCTTCCAATCTTTTAGTACAGAATGAATTATTAAAGATACACGTGTAAGAAATAACTTATCAAAAATAAAGATTTTAAAAGACAATTTCACTAACCTCTTTAAATGACTGTAGAAGGTTGCTACCAGAAACTGATAATGTAATATCTATATGGTGCATTATAAAAAGTGGCTCTTCTTGGGTTTGGTAAGGAAAACAGGCCAGATTATCTGCTATATACAAAAGCATATTCACCTCTGTTTTCTGTTAAAATAAAAAGATGTATAGATATGTATATAAAAGACATAACCATTCAACCCATATTTTATGTACAGTGGCTAGATTTATCTAATACTTTTAAGTAATGGGACATCTGGCAGGAAGGAATTCACTATTCTATTCATACCCTTCCAAATAGTGTATCAATGGCACAGCAAGCACTGGAGGAAACTTCTTTAGACCAAGAGATCAACAGATAATTACAAATATAAGTAGTCCTCATTTAGCGACTGCAATTAGTTCCAGCTAGTTTCCAATAAGAGACATAGGGGGAGGGACCTCCTATGGAGATTGTTGGTGGCTGCTGTCTCATTGTTAGCCCTTCAAGGTAAAGCAGACAAAAAGCACAACCAGGGGCACAACCTTTATTGACAATCTTTATTGTAAAGTTACATTAAATAGGATGTTACAAAACTGAAAGCAGTTTCCCCCCTCCTCACTTTTAAGTCTCCAGAAAAGAGTTCTATACTTTCCAAGTTTTTCCTCCCTCCATTTGTGGACCGAGTTGCCTGGGCTACAGGCCTTCCTTCTATCTCCCAAAGTCATTCATTCAGATAAAGTTATCTCGCGCAATGTCCTGAGCCTGGCCTAATTTTTCTTCCTCCCCTTCAACTTCCAAAGCAGAAAAGCAATCACTTCTTCAGCTGCTTTTCTCTACAACACTACACTTCCCTAAACAGTGATATCACATTAACAAGTTAACAAACTCAGACATGTGACCTTAATTAGTTGGTTAGAATGCTCCCCAAATATTTTCTAAAAATTGAGCAGACATTAAGGTCTGCTGATTAGCTTGATAATCTAATCTAATCTAAGTTGAGGACTGTCTGTATACAGTTATAATGTAGGTAAAAATGACCAGGCTTAAATTGTCCTAATATAATTTGAAGATATTATGCAAAGACCTCACTCTCCAAAGGGGAGAACAGATTGAATGCTGGAACAGGTGGAATGAAAGAGAAAAAAGGACAACCAGCAGTGAGGTGGATGCATTTAGTTACTATGGCAATGAATGCAGTACTGGAAGGCCTGAAGGACCAAGTTAGGGACTGGTTGTCATGGAGAAAATCTAGCTATATGGTTGCTACCAATTTGATAGCATATAATCACAATAAATTCCAAGACCAGATTAATAAATGCACCCATGCAGTTAAATATATAAATACAATGGCGAAGCTACTCTAAGCAAAAGAAAAAGCATCCATCAAGAAGGACATTCTAGAGAAGTCCTGAAAGCCTGCATAAGACTTACAGCTGTGTCATCAAAGAGGTTGAGCAAAGAAATAAGAAAGGCTCGTCGGTGCTGCCGATTCCCTCGGATCATGGAGTAAAGATGTGAGCACAAAGCGCTGCTGGATTCATCCTGTCTAAAGCCCCTCACAGGATCTTTTCGGCAGGTATTGATTGCCTGCTGTACTTGATAAGACATCTTCATACCAGCTACTGCTTTCATCTGAAATTGAACAAAATGTATAACGCCTACATATTTCTTAGAGCAATCTGAATGAAGTGATTGCCAAACAACTTCCATGCCATTTCCTAAATGGCTCCCTACTCCACAGTCTTTCAGATCCCATATCTTCCTCTCCCCAAATTTCATTTTGATTCTCCCTGTTCCTATTCCAACTGTTTGCAACTATTTAACAAAAATAGACAAAGTTTGTTGTAAAGAAACTCTTTGTGTTGAAAAAATGTGAATACAACTACTGGCTTGTAGAGAACAATTCATGTGCTGTCCCAGCCAGTCTATGGAATTGGATAGTTACTTAGGAATTATGAGCTGTCCCCTTAAGGGAATGCATCATGGTAAATGTAGTTAAAGGTATCCTGGGAAATGTAGTTCATGTCATGTGGCCACAACTGTAATCCCGATTGGTCACTAATTTGATCCTTGATGGGTTGGGGTTTTTTTCCTCACTTTGCCTGAACTCACTAACTCATGGCAGCTGCTTTCTATCGCTACGAGATGAGTTAGGAGATAACCATCTTTTACTTTTATGCCTTCTGCACAGAGGTGGATTTGAAGCTGTACAGATGCAGATAGATAACTCAACCAGATATCCATAATAAATTACATTTATTGGTTCAGCAGGTATCCTCATAACTCATGTTTGTGATGAAGTTCTTCTTTAATGACCAATCCTTTGTATATCTGTCTTGTAGTAAAAGATGGTTATCTCCTAACCCATCTCGTAGCGATAGAAAGCAGCTGCCATAAGTTAGTGAGTTCAAGCAAAGTGAGGAAAAACTCCCCCAACCCATCGAGGGTCAAATTAATGACTAATCGGGATTACAGATGTGGCCACGTGACATGAACTACATTTCCCAGGATACCTTTAACTACATTTACCATGATGCATTCCCTTAAGGGGACAGCTCATAATTCCTAAGTAACTATCCAATTCCCATAGATTGGCTGGGACAGCACAATTCAATTCTGCACTTTTTAATCATGAGGGGATATATATATAGTAAAACCTTACATCCGCTATTGATAGACTACATTCTGAAGACTTCTCAAAGCTGGCAAGGCCATAAACAATCGCTATGTAACATTTCTCATTGAACAAAGCTGGCTCATCGTGTCTAACTTATGCAACTCTGGTTTAAATACTCCTTTCTTCTACAAAAGGGTATATACATTCCTTGCTTCTAAAGACATTTTCTCTCTTTCTCATGTCATAACTTTTGTTTTCAAGAAGAAACATGTCAAAATTTCACATGCAAACTTTAGTAAAAGCCCACATAGAATGGCATATGCACAATTTTTGTATATTAATAGAAACATATTTTGTTTCATTTTTTTCCCAGCTGCAGAAACTGAATTATCACATCCTTTTTATTGTGAAAATAAGCTTCTTCTGATTGTATTTTTATATAAATGGAAAAAGACAGAAATGATACTTAATTTATTAAGATAAATAGAGGTCAACATACATGAATAAACCCAGCATATTTTTTGTCTATTTCCACCAGCTGTTGGTCTGCTTTGTTCCTCATAGAAGGCTCTGGATCTGTGCCCATTGCTATTAAATATGGTACACACTGCAAAATAAGACAAAAACATAATTGAAAGAATTCCATGTTTGTGTTTGTGAACAAAACAGGGAAAGGGGAACAGAAAAGTATAAATATCTTTCTGGTAAATAAATTGCTCAATCATATTCTTCTCCCATCTACCATCCTCACTAAGAGGATGAATGAGGCAGAAGAGTTTCCTCCTGATGATAGCAGATGATTCTATTATTTATATGTCAAATGATCCCCACCCTATCATTTCAAAAAATAGGGAAATACTTCATATTTCTTCTGGGCAAATATGGAAAATGAGCTTTGTAAAGTATTCCCAGCCATAAACCAAATGAAAGGCCACCGATAATCAAAACATTGTGCAATCCCATCTATTATGATTCAACATTATGTATCAACCAAGTTACTGTGATTTGGGGAACACACTGATTAAAGTCTTGGCTTAGCTTTATGTGTGAACTATATCCATAAGTCAAGGTTAGGAAGAAAGAACCCAGTACTATTTTACATTGCTTGTACCTTTTGCTGTTCTATCTATATCGCTGCTGCCTTTCTAGTTACTGTATTATTAGATTCCTTGGAAATGTTTATCATATTGAAAAGCAGGTAAAAGAAACTGATAACTACAAATATTGGGCATGTTATCTACAAACCAATCTTCTCCAAACAGGATCTGCCCATCTTGGGTGATCAGCCCAGGAAATGATTCTAGAAATCTGGAATCAGAAGGTGCTTTTTTCTGGGATAGCCTGTTAACTCTAAAATAATCTCTAAAGTCTATATTTCACCTTAAGAATTCATGGGACAAATAAATATTCTCCTATCTGATGATTTTTTGGGAACTTGAGGTGCTCACCACATTATGCTTTTAAAAGATGTTTGTTTTAAACTGATTGTTTGATATATTAATAAGAACTGTCTAGAGTTTGTGAAATCAGATTAGATACATTACAAACAAATCAAATAAACTATATAAGTAAAATAAATACTTAAATAAATTTTTGCTGAGCATCCAAAAAATATCCATATCTTGAGTACAAAAATATACTGATTACAACAGATTTCTGTACTTTCTTACTCCTTAGTAAGCTCCAATGAAACTATCGTATGTATATGCTGCCAGTCAACATTTTGCAGAATTGCAAATTTAAATATACCATTATATACCTGAACTGGATGGATAAGACCCTGGTTTAACGTGAGTGCAATAACATTGAGCGCAAAATGACGAACACTGGACTGTGTGTGAAAGAATGCTTCTAGGACTTGTTTGAGATATAGCTGCATGATGGAGCTGCTCATCCCTGAGGAAATATCACCCATTTCTTTCAGATCTTCTTGCTTTGCTACCTTTTTCCCTACAAGAATAGAAAAGAAGAGAGAAATCTTATCATAATATCTATTATTTATATATTGTGTACATGTTGAATGCATATTTTGCATTTCTGTTATTGTTTACAGTAGAAATTGGAGTGCCATCTAATTGAAGCCCGTCGGTGAAGTAAGATGGATTCACCCACATTAACATACCATTCTCCATTAACTGATAAACTACTTGAAGAGCTACCTTAAGTCGCCAATCTAGAGACATGAAGAAAAATGTAGATGGGCTGTACCATTTCAGATCACAGATTGAATAGGCTGGATTATTTAAGGCTGTAGGTAAAGATAAATAATTTTAATTTGCCTATGAAAAAAGCACGCACATACCCTAAAAACCTTCTTCTAAGGGAAAGGATGTGCTCACTTCCCAACATCTGTCACAGCAATAAGAAGCAAGAAAAAAAGGTATCAGGTGTGAGATGTGTCCAGGGAAGAAGGGTAGACTGTATAATTACAGAGAAAATTGCCTGAAGAAGCATAGTTACATGTTAAGCAAACAGGTCTTGTAGTGTTCTTAGATATAAGTGCATACAATTAAGATAAATACAGCAGAAAAAAGAGGAAAAATAGGTCACGTACTAAACATAGAAGCTAATACTCTGATATGCATCCAAAAAGTGAAAAGAATTCTGGGAGGACAGTATCTTGATTCAAATAAAGAAAATAATGGCTTTCCATAAATATAATATCTGACTGCAAAGAAGCTCCATTACGGTCAATCAATGTAAGAACAAACAAGGAGTGAAATAAATATGAGAAGACCACCAAAAGCTTATTTGGGTGTTAGAAATATATAATATAACCTTGGTGAAATGTTCCAATTGTTTTAACATCCAGTCAAAAGAATAAAAATGCTGATTGCTAGCAGAATTATCAAAGCAGTTCCCTTTGAATGATAAGCAATTGGTTTTCTATGCAATGTCAATGTCTTTCAAAATTTCCAGCAAAAGAGTTGAAAGAATCCCATTTGCCAACCCTAAGAATCTGAATATCAAAATAATGTTATTTGATCATGGTGCCAAGACTGCTCAAGTGACAGAAAATACAGCTCCAGTTGAACAACTTGAACCAAGGTTCATATGTGGCCACCAGCCATTATTAGGATGTAGTCTGCATTGTCCCAGTGAAGGTTTGACATTAACAAGGAATAAATAATAAAGAACTGTAGGGAAACATAAAGAAGAACCTCCGATCATTCATGTTGTGAAACACTTGCACCAAGGACCTTTCGTTTCATTACAAATATTCACATTTAATGATTGATGGTATCAGGATGCACCATGTATTTTTCAATGCAGTACCAGTGCTTTATCTTTCAATTTTATCTAAGCACAGATATTCTATTTGTCATAGTGTTAGAAGAGAAAATTAATATTGCCAGTTAGCATGTTGTTATATTAATCGTGATTGAAGCCGTCAGATAGCTAAAGGACATCCTCACTAATACTGAATTTATCAGATCTGCACATTTTATAATTAAAAAAAAAAACATCCTGCTTGGTACTGCCTATATTTTTAGAAGCTACCTTAATAATTATTAGGCCATTGGATATGACTTGAATTATTTCTACCAGTATTAAACTGTGAATCTAACTATCGATTATCCATCCTTAATAATAATATCAGAATATGCTGCAAGAAGATTGCACAGACTTAAAATCAATGGTATGACAAAGTAGAAAAAATTGTGCATTAGAATTGTGAAGAAAATAGGGATAATTGAGGTGGCAATACCAGGGAATGGTAGAATAGAAGATAAATAATTGGAGAAGATTACAAAGTATCAAGATCTGAAAATCAAAATTGGAAGATTATGGCAAAAACTGGCCACGGTGGTCACTAGGTGCCAGTGTGGAAAAATCTTGGATGACAATTTAAAAAATCTGTGCATTGACAAAATTACCATAGATCAACTGCAAAGTTGATACTACATTCTCAAAAATCTTACCTAAAAAAAGTTGGAGCTAGCACTAGTCAAATATCTCCAAATGTTTTTTTAGAACCAAAAATATTCAAGAGGATTTGATTGTTTATGCCATTAAAATAAAAACCAGGATTACAGATAAGGCAGGTATAACCTGCATCAGGTACCAGGTGCCACAATTATCATCAAATACAAGTAGTTATAACATGTATCTGAACATAGATAGTGAAACACTAAGAATTCCCACCCCTCATTTTTCAGAAAGTCATTTTCTGAACCTCTAGAATAAGATTTAAGAACAAGTATAGGGGATTGACTATAAAATAGCAACTAACTCAGATATAATTTGAAAACATTGAACAGAAAACAGGGAAAACAATGATCAATCTAAAATTTTGCCTTTAGAAATAAATCTAAGTAATTAATTAAAATGAGCAAAGCAAATGATAAAGCGTATGAACTGCAAGTCCCAGCCTTCTGGTTTCATGCAAAGCCTTAGTTAAAGAAATAATAACCAGTCAAAACTGAGGTCTTTGGTATAGAGCCGAGTTCAACATAAATGCCAGTTCTCATAAAATAAATATATGTCAATGTTTCAACTCTTCTGTAGTTCTTTCAGTGTAATAATTGAACGCCAGTTACATTTAATTAGTTTCGTTTAATTTAGGATTCTATGGCAGAGAAGAGCCACTCAAAGTCACCTATTGGATGGATGGATGGATGGATGGATGGATGTGTGTGTGTGTAGATGGATGGATGGGTGGGTGGATGGATGGATGGATGGATGGATGGATGGATGGATGGCCTAATGAAAGAGGTGGCCTAATGGTTTGCAGGAACTTCCAGATATGTTTAATTTAAAAATCAACATTGGAAACAGAACCTAGAATTCTAAAGAGAACAGAACTGAAATTCTAAAGTGGACAGGTATGTAACTGATAAAGAGGCACAAGATTTTCTACTCATGCATTAGAATCAACCAACATAATGATGAACTTTGTTTAGATCAGATCTACCCAACATGGCCAATGAGCTGCATGCTGCTCTGAACAGCTGGTAATGTGGTCCCATATTATTTTGTGATTTATATACATGAATTATGTTATATATTGTATATGCAGCCCAACACAATTCCTCTTCACTCAATGCGGTCCATGCAAGCCAAAAGATCACACCCAAGGTCACACCCACCTAAAACTGAGACAAATTCAAATAACTCAGTTGTGCTACGTGGAGCTTAGAGAACTGTTCTCTTGGGGGTGAAATCAATTGTCAATTCTACCAAATGTCCTTTTCTAAGTCACAAAACCCATTGTCAGTTGAGAATTATATATTCACACAGCCAGAGTCCTTGTAGAAAATATATTGGAAAAATAAAAACTGATAATTTGAAAATAGGAAATTGAGAAAAGAAAATAAATAAATAAATAAATGACGGCATATGCTCCAGTAGTCTTCAGTAATGGCAAATATGAAGAATGTCCTCTATAATATTGGTGCAGCAAATTTTAGAAAAGAAGTATCAGGAAGAGTAGCAGCCCTCCCAGTTTGAGCACACTCACTAGGAGGGAAGAGTGAGTTTTTGCCAAACTTACTTAATTTTGGAATACTGTGAATAAAGCTCAACATAGGTGAAATATCTCAATGGGTGGCCAACAGAAAATTCATTAACATTACATTTTACCTATCTCACTCTTGGACACTGAATTGTGGTAAAGACACATGGACACTGAATTGTGGTATTTAATATTAGTTTGATGCTACATAATCAATTATATTTAAACTATTTAATGAATGCAATTGTATTTATCACTCACATTCTCTATCTGCCTGCTGCATGCGTGTATCTTCCTCTTGGAGGTATGTCTGGAGATTTTTCAACACTTGGATTTTTAAATTTACTGAGCAGTTTTTATCAGAGAGAATATTATTATACAATGTCTTCACCTCTTGTTCAAACATTAGGCTTGGATGTTGTATGAAGGCGAATCCTGAGGAAAATAAGAAAATGCAACTTAATAAATCTTGTTGCATAATTGAATTTTTAACTTCATATATAACTTTCTACTACAGGAAATGTTTTGTTTCCTTGTATTTTATTCTCTCCCTATTTATACAAACATTTTAATATTATCATGCTTCAAAAAACTTCAGCTTTGTTCATAAAGTAACAGAATTAAGAATGTCAAACCATCTACACATAAACATAAGTTACAAGAGCAGCCCAGATTCATTGTTAGTATACTATAAATACCCACTGAAGTATTTTGGCGTTAAATGTTTTGCAAAAGAGTCAGCAAATTAAGGGCTTCCTATCCCTTATGGTCCAAAGTATTCTATAATCAGGTGGATGCCACCAAGAAGGAATGCTTCCAGGTCCTAAATATTCTTGCCAAATATGGAATTAAGATCCATAACAGAATTATGGGGAGTGAACACACTTTGTAGACTATTCTAGAAAGAGGAGATAATGTCATAGGTGCATAGGTGTTAAGTTTTGTAGGGCTTTAAAACAAAAAACAGTATATTCAATTGGGCCTGTATGTTTTACGGTAGCAAATGCAGCAACCTTGGCATAAGTACAATACTACTCAACACATTTCAGTCAGGCAACTACATTTTGAAACTCCTGGGTTTCCAGTAGCATTCAAGGGCATCCTCATGTTAAGTGGATAGCACTTGTCTAAATTTTGGGTGATAGTTGTTTGAATCACTGTCGCAAAGTTATCTTCAATCCAAAGAACTTCTCAAACAATGTAGCAGCTAAAACTCCTGATCACAGCTTTCATATGCTGAGCAAGTCCAGGAGAACCATTAAGAAACAGATCTGATTTTAAGTTGAGTGTAATCCAATTTAGTGACTGAGATCAAGCTGATTTAATCACAATAACCATATATGCATGGATATAATCTTCCTTTAATCCATCCAGTCCCCATGGCCTGCATAGAGAACCTCCACAGCATCCCTAGTGTATAATTGAGTATCATCAATACACTGATACTTCAACCCGAACAGAATAAACTTTACAAGTAGTTTCATGTAGATTTTGAATAGTATAGGAAAATACTGTAAACGCCCACACTGGAGAGGTCAGGAGCACAAATGACCTTTTTGTATTCATACCAAACAGAACTTTCTACTCCAGAAGGAGTTAAAACAATGTTTTCTCTCCTAATTCTCATAGAGTAGAATAATACAATGGTTGATAATATAAAATGCCTTTGAGAGATCTAATAAGATCAGTTGAGAGTGTCTTCCTTCCAACCAACAAACTTCATTGACAATGTGACTAATGTTTTTTTCCATCCAAAGAAAGACTGATAATCTGTTTCTTCTGTAGCTCAAGCCCCAGAAAGGGAAGACTGGAGATTAGGTTAGTGATTGGATCAAGAGACAATTCAATTCAGAAAGAATATATCACTACCTCCTTCGAGATATATGATTATCTCTCCTCCTTCAAAGAGGCATTTATCACTCCAGAATACTGGTGCACATACTATGACCACTACTGAAAAAAGCAAGTAGTGCAAGGCTCTGTCTCACAGGTGGCACAGTTTCTGTTATGGGAAACTCTGCTCCTTGATCTCTGGAAACTTAAAACAATCCCAATGGTATGCAAATTTGGTATATTGGATATATGCCAATAAAATTTGGTATATTGGTAAATTCTGCCCATTTGGTATATAATTTGAAGAAATGTGAACAATTTTAACTTTGAGAAATCCCTCAAAAATGTCACATTAGCTAATGGTTAGATCTTCTTCAACCTTCTATCAAAAAGATACCGGTAACCCTAAACAAGGCTATTGAATGTGAATCTGCAGATGCAATAAGAGCAGAAAAGTAGAAATAGTTTGCTACTATTATTACCATGGTATAGTATCAAACGTGGATGTGCAACTGTGTTTAGTTAATTTACTTTTTATGTTTCCCACCTAGTACTATCATGGACATCTCTTGCAACATCTCATTTCCCAGAGCTCTTTAGAAAATCAAGAAGTCCTCCAGGACATCTTGGAATGTTTTATTGAAACAGCAGGCATTTTGTAATGATCACAAGCAGCTACACAATAAGTAGTTCACATCTGATGTAAAATCTTACCTAGACCAATGATGGCTTTTGTTTGTACCTCCTCATCTGAATGCTTGGTGAAATACATTAACAATTCAAGTACTTTATCTTTTATGTTAACCTGTTTAAAGAGGAAAAGGGTACAATAATTAAAAAGTAAGTCAAGGAAAGTTTCATTCCCATTTTTAAAAAAATTAAATCTAAAAACAGAAAAAAAGTTGTATCAGAGATTTCCATCCATCCACATATACTTTTAAATATTGTATTACCTTGCTGTTGCCTTTAAAATCTTCTTGATCAAAATCAAAATGCCGACATAGTGCTCCAACAGTAAAAAGGGATCTTAGGAGTGCTGGTTTATTTGCTGTAAGTATAGTGCTATTTGGATCTTCTTGATGTTGACTTTTTAGTTTTGAAAGTGCACCTATATAACAAAACCTATTTTATAATGCTGTTATCATAAACATTAAATAGTTTTAAACTAATATTCATAAAATAATCCAATATTTAACTTACCATAGTATCTATTAAAACAAGCCCATACAAATTTAAAATTCTGTGTGACTTTGTTAACAACAGCTCCAAGACAGCTAACACAATGCTGCACTACCTAAAAACAAAGCAAAACATTTTACTGCTGAGTAATGGAGAAATCAATGTTCTTTTCTTATTTTACAGATTTATTTAGGCTACAAGCCCATCATAAAAGTGGTATATATTATTTATTTTAAATAATTACTAGCTTCTTTACTTAAACAAGTAAGGTTTTGTTTACTTGTAAACAAAAACAAATATTGTTTAAGTAAATATTGTTTTACATAAACAATAGTCAAGTTGTCTTTGAATGGTAAAAATAAAAAAGTGCATTAACCAACCGTATTTTTAGATTCATAAAATCAACGTAATGACTACAATTTCAATGTTCCCTTTCAAATATAACATTTTCCACTACAGTAAAACAAGATGATTTTTTAAAATAGAAATTAAACCTTACTGTCATGCCATATTTGATTATGAGCTTCATGAGATCTTCTTCCATCGTAGCAAGGAAAGTCTCACTTGGGTGTTCCATCAGCGGCACTACCAATTCTAAGATTTTTGCAACATTGCAGATCACCATGAAGTCATTTTGATTCTGTAGAAAATATTGTATTCAATTAATTAGGTCTATTGTGATCCTTTATTATATCATGAAAAGCTCAAGTTCAACATTAAAATAAAACATGCATGTTACTGAATGATATGGTACCATGGAATAGCAACTGAGTAGTCACAAGTTCTGTTCATGAACTAGTAGCTTTTTTAGTGTGCAGCTCTCATTACTCAAGTGGTACCTGAGAAAATCAGAGAGGGCTGACAGACTGGATTATTTCTATCCTACTTTTGAATCTTTTAAATGATGAAAAATGGGATAGAAATGTTAGAATGAAGTAAATGTTGTCCTTATGAAAATAAAATCATGCAAAACATAGAATCATAAAGTTGGAAATAGCAATTAAATCCAACCCCTGCTCAGTGCAAGAATCCAAATGAAAGCAGTCCCAGAAAAAAGCTATATAATTTCTATTTGAACATCTCCAGTTTCCACATTTCCAAACATACTGCTCTCTGGATAATCAATTCCATTATCAAATTGTTCTTATTGTCTAAAAATACTTCTAAAGGAGTCAGTTAACAAAGCAAATTTAAAACCTAAAACAATAGATGTAATAAATTTGAAAAGAATTCAAAAGGAGTTTATTAAACCACAACAACAGAAATGATAAAAGTTAAACAACACTGCTAGTAAGGACTAGCATACTAATCTAGACCATTCTAAAAAGCAGAGACATTACCCTGCCAACAAAAGCGCATACAGTCAAGGCTATGGTTTTCCCAGTTGCAATGTATGGCTGCGAAAGTTGGACCATAATGAAGGCTGAGCGTCAAAGAATTGAGACCTTTGAACTATGGTGCTGGAGAAGACTCCTGCGAGTCTCTTGGACTGCAATATGATCAAACTGGGGAGTCCTAGAGGAGATCAACCCTGACTGCTCTATAGAAGGCCAGATCCTGAAGATGAAACTCAAATACTTTGGCCACCTAATGAGAAGGAAGGACTCACTGGAGAAGATTGAGGGCAAAAAAAGAACGGGACGACAGAGAATGAGATGGCTGGATGGAGTCACTGAAGTAGTAGACGTAAGTTTAAATGGACTCTGGGGGATAGTAGAGGACAGGAAGGCCTGGAGGAATGTTGTCTATGGGGTCGTGATGGGTTGGACACAATTTCCGACTAACAATAACAAAGGACAATCCTAGAAGCAGACAACTAAATAGTTAGTCTCAAAACCTATTTTACTGGTTTCAAATCTTAACTTCAGCTGAAACAGAAACTATAAAGAGAAGCAATTTGAAATGTGTGAATACTTACACTGCATTTAGTTGTAAGATATGGTTGCATGGTCATAGCATGTTTGACCATTAACTGAGGCCTGATTTTGCTGAATAAAAATAAAGTGGTTATGCAAGCTACCAAGCGACTTGAATTCACACCCTTGTTGTCAGAATCTGGAAAAGAAATATCATTATTTACATAAGTCCACACAAATACTCATCTATCAATCAGTCATTAATCTAAATGGCAGCTGAAACAACTCTTTCAAGTGAAAATATTTATAGTGGCCTGATTCTGTGCAGGATCATATTGTGTTGCAAAAATAAATGGTTCCTGACTGGGAAAGTGCTGGGCAACCACATAGTTTCTTTATCCTTTCATGTGCTTTGTAAACCACTGTTTATGATAGTCCAAACAGAAATACTATTGAGTGGGCCTAATTCCAGTCTTAAAGCTATTATCATAGATTTCACACATTTTTCAGTCAAGATTATTATCATCATGTCAATATTTTAAATAAATCAATCAATCACACAGCAATAGAAAACAATATATTCAAAGAACCAATATTACGTTTCCAATATAAACTATAAATACTATTACTGTTAATCTTCTCTTTATCACCCATCCCCCCCACTTGTGACTGTATGACCGTAACTTTGTCGCTTGTACCCTTACGATTTATATGAACTATTTCCGAGTATGATTTGATTGCTTATTGTACCCTATGACTATTACGTGTTGTACCTTATGATACTTGACTCTTGATGAGTGTATCTTTTCTTTTATGTATACTGAGAGTATTTGCACCAAGACAAATTCCTTGTGTGTCCAACCACACTTGGCCAATAAAGGATTCTATTCTATTCTATTCTATTCTATTCTATTCTATTCTATTCTATTCTATTCTATTCTAT